GGGACCAGATAGGATGTTGGGATCTAACCAGAGTCAGCCCTGTGTAAGGCAAGCACCCTCCCTGTTGCACTATGGATCCAGTCCCATCAGTTTCATTTCCGTAGCTGCGACCAGCCCAGAGCTTCCTCATTCACTTTCACTTCCGTGGAGAGGGAGACACAAATTCAATCCCCAGCACTCCCGGCAGTGACCCCCACCCAAGCATCTCCAAGCCAGGAGTAGTTCCTAAGTACCACTGTGAGTGGTCAAGAAACAAAAGCTCATTTTCACCACTGGGTGGAGCCCCACTGTTCTCTGAGGCCCCCTTCATTCTCACCGGGATCCCTGTGGATTGCACTAGGGTGAGGATCCCACCCAAGTCTCACGCAGGTAAGGTAAGGCGGATGCTCTCCTGCGAGCCATATCCCAGCCTGTCAGTTCCCCCATGCTGGGAGCAGGCAGCGCTGCTCAGAATTCTGTGGACCGTGCTACACAGCCAGTGTCACCTGCACACATGACTTCTTTGCAGTGAGGGGCCCTTGTGCCCCCAGACCCATCCATCTCCCAGCGACACCTCCCAGCAGGTGAACCCACCCATGCCAGGAGAGGCAGGAAACACCGAGAGGATGACCTTGGGGCCGGTGCTGGTGGACGGAAGGGTTGGGGGGGTGTCCTTGTCTTTGGGATCCCACTGGCAGCTGCTGCTCTCTTCTCAGTTACAGCCGCTGCCTGGAACTGATGCTGAGCCACGTGGCCCGCCGTGGCCCGCTGTGTCATCTCATGGTGGCATCTCACAACGAGGAGTCCGTGCACCAGGCAACCCAGCGGTACGAGATGGCACACAGGGACCGGCCTCTGGAAGGCCTAGCCCTTCCTCTACCCTGAGCCAGGGATGGGCAGAGAGGGGTGACACTGGCAGGGGCGGGAATAGGTGAGGCCGGCAGGTCCCAAGGGGATTGGGGGAGGATTTGCCATTGATTTGCACAATGGCAAATCCTCCTGGTACCCCTCTAGATGCCAGCTGGGCAAGTCCTGGGGAGGCCTGAGCAGTCTGGAAGGGGCCAGGCGCCCCTGGGCTGTAGTGGGGTGGAGGAGGGTACAGAGCAGTGGATATACCGCAGCACATGACCCAGGACCCCGGAGCTGGGACAGCCAGGCGGTGCGGAATGGCTGACGCTCAGCTCTGATGGGTGGCCTCCTCTGCAGCATGTGGGAGCTGGGAATCCCTCCAGATGGGCCTGTCTGTTTCGGACAACTTCTGGGGATGTGTGACCACGTCTCTCTGGCCCTGGGTAAGTGACCGCGCGCACCCCAGCCCCCACCCGGACCCCTGGCCGGAATCCCTCCCCACCTCATCCCTCCCCTCCTTCCTGAGCTTCATCGGAAATTCACAACTGGAAGTTTCTTAAGCCCCAGGGGGCTTAAGAAATTTAACAGATGCAAATTTGTGCGATTAACTCCTGGCTAAAGCCTTCTCTGCCAGATTGCTGTTTCTTCCCAGTTGTGACCTGTGAGGCTCTGGATAATGCCCAATCAATCCTCAATGGTGTAGAGTTGGGGGCTTTTCCTTTATTTTGATTTTGGGGGGAGATACCTGGCAGTGCTCAGGGCTTACTCCTGGTTCAGGGATCTCTCCTGACAGGGCTCAGGGTATTATATGGGGTGCTCAGATTGACGGTGGCTGCAGCGGTAGCACAGCGGGTAGGGCGTTTGCCTTGCACGTGGCCAACCGGGGTTCAATTCCTCCGTCCCTCTCAGAGAGCCTGGCAAGCTACCGAGAGTATCCTGTCCTCACGGTAGAGCCTGGCAAGCTCTCCGTGGCATATTCGATATGCACAAGTCTCACAATGGAGACATTACTGGTGCCTGCTCGAGCAAATCGATGAACAACGGGAGGACAGTGCTACAGTGCTCAGATTGACCTTGTGTGAGGCAAATACCCTACCTGGTGTACTATCGCTCCAGCCCTGCAGTGGAGAATTTTTGTCCAACTCATCCGTCAGTTTCTGGGAAGTGGACTTGAATATTCTAGATCGGGAGCTGGGGCCAGCCTCTCCCCTTACAGGAACCCAGACCCTGCCAACACTCTCCCCCCCACCCCCCCAGGGCAGGCTGGCTATGCTGTGTATAAGTCCATCCCCTATGGCTCCCTGGAGGAGGTGATCCCCTACTTGATCCGGAGGGCCCAGGAGAACCGGAGTGTGCTGCGAGGTGCCCGCCGGGAACGGGAGCTGCTTGGCCAAGAACTTCGGAGGAGGCTGCGGAGGGGTGCGTAAGAGCACCCAATCAGCACCACCTGGGTTCAGGTGGTCAATAAAGATTCTCAGCAGTTCCCTGCCCTGAAGCCACCTCCTTCCTTGGGGAAAGGGTTATTCCTGGACCACCAGTCAGCCCAGGCTTGGGGGCTCTGCAACTTGAGAGATCTTTAGCTGTGCCCCTAGAGTTTAGTGAGGAGGACATCAATCACAGACAAAAGACGCCTCCTCACCCCTGGGGCATTCCATCCATGGGCCAAGAGGTGCCTGGAAGAAGAGCAGACACGGAGGTTTTGCAGTCTACAGGCTGGGCTCAAGCCACAGATCCCAGGAGAGATGGGAAGAGTCAGACCACTTAAGAAGCATCCTCTGGGGCCTGAGCAAGAGTACAGTGGGTTGGGCACTTGCCTCGATTGTGGCCGACCTGGGTTTGGTCCCAGGCATCCCATATGGTCCCCAAGCACACCATTCCTGAGTGCAGAGCCAGAAGTAAACCCTGAGGACTGCTGGGTGTGGCTCCAATCGAAGTGCTGAGTGGGGTGTAGGCCTCTCCTCTAAAAAAGGAGAGTATCATCCGCCCCTGCCCATCACCTCTACCTCCCGATTTGCACGTACCATTGTCTTCCTCTGTTTGGCTGGTTATTCTATTTAAACCTTTTTTTTTTTTTGGTTTGGGGGTTACTCCTGACTCTACACTCAGGAATCTTTCCTGATGGCACTTGCAGGACCATATGGGATGCTGGGATCTAACCTGGGTTGACTGTGTGCAAGAAAAACACCTTACCCTCTGTACTATCCAGCCTCCCCACTCAGTATTTTGGGGTGCATCCTGGAACAGAGCTCAAGAACATGGCACTGGGGAGTAATTTGGTTTCCCATATACAAAACATCTGCTCCAGCCCTTTGCCTCCTGCCCAGCCCCCCAGGATGCAATGCCCCGAGCCAGCTGTTGGACTTGAATTCTGTCCCCAAGCACTGGAGGAGGGTCGGGAAGCTTCTGAACTGGGGGGTTGGGTGCACAGTCCAGTTAACTCCACTGTAGGCGTGGAAGCTGAGGGCATGCAGGTACTGACTCGTCAGGCCCCATGGCTGCCACAGCCACCACAGGATCACCTCTGGGGAGCCCGGGGCCTGCACTGCCGCCACCTTCTGAATTGTGTTCATGGCAGGCATTTGAGCTCCTGCACTGGGATGTGTCTGCCACCACCTCAGGCTGCAGCATCTGAATCCTAGTCAGTGTGTGAGCTGACACCTGCTTCCTTGGGGTCCCTCACCTGTTCGGTTCCCCCAATCCTGCATCCTTGCAGGAGAGCTGTCCTGGGCAGGGCCAGAGGGGCCTGAGGTGAAGATGAAATGGGAGGCTGGTGAGAGCCAGGCCTGGCCCCTCCCCTCCCCCTCCTCGTGCAGCTCCCTGCTGCCATGGCCCATGTAAGGGCAGGCGGCAGAGTGGGTGGTAGCTGGGAGTCTCAGGGAGGACCTGGGTCCTCACGCACAGCCTGTCCACAGGACTCAGTTTCTGAGATGAACTCCTCTGCAGACTGGCCTGCACAGCTCTGCACCCCAGGCCCCCCCCCCAGATTGAAAGGCAAGGGGGTAGTGGTCGCCAGTGTTTGCACAACTGGGCTGTGGCTCTTCTAGCCCTCCAGTCCTGTCTCCATTTCTGGGGCCTGCTCTGGTCCCCCAGAGACACTGTGCTGTGGCCCCCTACATCACAGGTCAGAATCAGAGAAGCGATGCTTGTGGGGACCAATGGGAATTTGGGGGTACCTGGGCAGCCATGTCCTCATTCTCTGCTGCCTCCCCGCCCCCAAGTACCAGGGAGTGCTGAGTGATGCCTCCTAGGGTTTAGGTAGCAGCTGAACTGAGCCTGCGTCTACCAGTATGGTTCCCTGGATATCCCTCAGATACCCTCTTTTTTTTTTTTTTTGGCTTTTTGGGTCATACCCAGTGATGCTCAGGGGTTAATCCTGGCTCTGCACTCAGGAATTACTCCTGGCGGTGCTTGAGGGACCATATGGGATGCCGGGGATTGAACCCAGGTCGGCCGCATGCAAGCAAACACCCTACCTGCTGTGCTATCACTCCTCAGATACCCTCTTTGTTGGCCCCAACTCCTACTTCTCTGCCTCTCCTCTGGCCAGTATCGCAAGGGCCTCCCAACCATCACTGAGTTGGACCCCAGTCTCGTCAGGACCCTTGGACCATGAGAGAAAGTTCTCAGCTGAGATGCCCTGAAGTGCAGGGACTGTTGTGGCAGCCACAGGGAAAGCCATCAGGGCTGGGGGAGCACTTCTGAGCACTCCCCAGGCCACAGGGGTGGGAGTGGGGGGCAGACAGTCTTGCAGGGGGCTGGCACTGAGGGGTGCTGGTGTGGGCAGGAAGGGGCACTCCATCTTCCCTGACCCCACTGCTCCCCAGGATGGAGCTGCTCAAGGAGATTCTCACAGAACCTGGTAACAGGCCATGCACTGCCCACTTCCCTGAGTCAGTGTCTTGGGTGTCTTGGGACACCAATAGTGCTCTCTATGGCCCCAGCCTCCAGCACCCATTGCACTGTGTGAAAAAATGAGAAGGAGCCCGAGCCTGTCTCTCAGCCTTTATTCACAGAGCCTGGCCTAGCACAACGCTAGCAGTCACCTTGTCACCATTTTTATTAATTTTGTCAGATGGTTAGTGGGGCAGGGAAGGGAGTGGGGTAAAAACTGTCCCCTGACCCACCCGCGTGCATGTGCCTGGGGAGAGGGAGGGCGGGGTATCATCCAAGCCCCAGGATGGAGAGGGCGGGGAGGGGGGCAGCTGTGGGAACAGGTTAGGGGCTGTATCAGAAGCAAGTTACAAAGTTAGAAACTGGAATAGGGGTCCGGAGCTCAAGAAAATATGGGCGGCACTGAGGAAGGTGGCGCCGCACCACAGAAAGGGGGAGGGGAGGCTGCGCCCACCTTGGGTTCAGCAGTAGCTTCGGGTCTGGCCCTCGGAGCGGAGAGACCAGTTGGGAGTAGGGTAGGGAGGTGGGGGACCAGCCCCCTCCCTTCCTGGCCCCCCATTTCTGTACAAGGAGCCTCGATGGTGCTCGCTCCCCCTGCCATAGGCTGGGGGGGATGCCCTGTAGAGCAGGAGAGGCTCAGGAGGGCCCCAAGGCCCAGGGACCCTGTGAGGAGTGTGGGGCCCCCAGGGGGCCCGCTGTTTCTGTGGGAGGCGGGGGGCAGGGGGCCCCGGATCTGAACGGCTTCGAGGGTGGGCAGGAGGGGAGGAGGAGGAGCAGGAAGAAGCAGGTGAGGGGCCTCTGGGCCCAAGGGCCAGGTTGACGTAGAGGGGCTCAGGCCGGGGGGGTCGCCGCACAGAGTGCTGGGGTGCTGAGTAGACCAAATGGTCATGGGGAAAGCAGGAGGGGGGTGGGGGGTAGTTGAGCAGGAAGTCAGGGGAGCTATGGAGTGGGGGTGACTGGCCAAGCATGCCGTAGGAGGCGTTGAGCCGATCGGGGGGCATGGAGCGAAAGGGACTCCAGGATCGGGTGGGACCAGAGTAGGGGGACCCCTCTCCTGCCTCGATCTCATAGTACAGGTTCTCTGCCCGGTCAAGTGCTGGAGGGCCCAGGGGGTTCCTCCAGACGGGGACCGGGGAGCTGGGCTGGAAGGAGGGAGAGCCCAGGGAATACAAGCCTGGCTTGGGGACCCCCAGGAAGGGTGGCAGGCACTCCCGAGGGGCTGAGAAGCTGGGTGTGGGAGCCTGGGAGGGGACAGGACACGGGAACGGGGCTGCTGTCTCTGCGACCTCTCTGCACCCGCTCCCCCTAAGCTGGGCACTGACCTGGGCAGCGCCTCGGAGTCCCCTCCTGGAGGTCCCGGGGGGCCTCTGGCTCCTCACTAGGCTCCCATCACTCTGCTGCCTTGGGAGGGAGGGTGGGGGACCTGGAGTCCAGGCACCGGGTTGGGCTAGGGAGTGGGGGTGCAGCCCACTCCCGGAGGGCCCCGGGGGCTCACTGCCCACCTCCAAGGACAGTGAGCGGCGGAAAGGGGAGCGGGAAGCAGATGGGGTGCTCCTGTGCTCCTGTCGGCTCTGTCTCTGGGCCACCTGCTGAGCCCGCTCAGCCAGGGCCAGGGCCATGAGGCGCGCTGGGTTCTTGGGGGGTGGAGGTGGGGCCCCCCCAGGGCGCAGAAGGGACAGAGGAGGGGCCAGTCGTGGGGAGTCCTGCTCGGGACCTGCTGGGAGAAAAGGGAAGCGAGTCAGCTGGGCCATGGGCACCGGCCGGGCGGGAGGGGCGCTGGGCTGAGTGGGGCTCCCTCACCTGGCTGACCCTGGGCTCCGCGGGGGGCAGGCAGTGCCAGCTTGCTGCAGATCTCCTGTTGGCAGTTGTCGCTCAGCTGGGCTTCTGCACCACGCAGTAGCAGGGGGATGAGACGGGGACGCAGGCCTGGGCTGGGGCTGAGGGCTGGTGTGGGGGTGACCGAGGAAGGTGCTGCCCCTGCCCCCAGCAGCTCCAGGACGGCAGGTGGCACTGAGACAGCCAGGGGCTCTGAGATGTCCAGGGCTGCTGGGGAGGCAGGGCTGGTGGGTCCTCGAGGGGACAGGGCCTTGGGGGTGGCCCTGGGCGGGAAGGCAGAAGCAGAGGCAGGGGGTGCTGGGCTGGCTGGGGGAGCAGGGTCCCCAGGGGTGGGGCTGCTGCAGCGGAAGGTGAGGGGGTCAAAGTCCAGGCCCCGGAGCCCCTCCAGGCAGCGGGGTGGGCTGAAGTCCAGCTCATCACCATCATCCAGCCAGGCAGAGGTGCGGTGTGATGGGGAGCCGGAGAGTGCCCCCAGCCCAGCTGCTGAGGACTCTGAGGAGGACCCGGAGGAGGAAGAGGAAGACTCCGAGGAGGAGGAGGAGGAGGACAGGCTCTCGCAGGAGCCTGCGGGAGCTGGGCCCACTGGGAATGCATCGCTGCTGGAGTGCGGCCGCCGGAGCCTGTGCAGCCTCTGGAGGCCTGGGAGGGTAGACAGGGGTCAGGTGTCCACTCCACACACCCAGACAGCACCAGCACCGAGCACCTGGCACATGCCAGCATGGGTGGTGTATCTATGAAGAGGTGCTTCCTCTTGGGTGCCCAGGGCTGTGAATGCAGGGAGAGGCACTGAGACTCTCGGAGGATGAAGGAACAAGCGGCAAGGCCAGGAAGGGAGCCTGTCTGGACAAGGCAGTGATGCTGACCGGGGCCGGAGGGGCAGTTCAGTGGTTAGGGCACTTGCCTTGTATGCAGCTGAACCAAATTTGATCCCCAGTATCTCATATGCTCCCCTGAGCACCACCAGGAGTGATCCCTGAGCGCAGAGCCAGGAGCAATCTCTAAGCATCACGGGGTGTGCCTCCCCGCTCCGCACCCAAATGGGGCAGGAACAACTGTGGATAGGGCATTTGCCTTGCATGCAGATGGCTTGGGTTTGATCCCCACCACCACATACAGTCCCCTGAGTACCACCAGGAGTGATCTCTGAGCGCAGAGTCAAGAGTAAGCCCTGAACATAAAAACTGGGTGTTACCCTAAAACCCCCTAACCAACCAACCAACCAAACAAACAAAAAGTGCAGATGGGCAGGGGAGATGGTACAGCAGGTAAGGCAGCTGCCTGCACTGGGCTGACTGCGTCCTATCCCCGACTGTGCAAATGGCCCCCAAGTCCTACCAGGAGTGATCCTGGAGAGTGGAAACAAGAACCTGTAAGCATGCCTGCTGCAGAGAAGTGGAGCAGTGTATCGGACCCTGAGCTGCCCTCTGCACACACCCCTTCCTGCAAGTGTGGGGCATGGACCAGGAGTGTCAGCACAGCAGAGATCGAGGGTGGAGCTTTCAGGAGGGGAGGGCTGCTTTTGCTCACACCCACATGTGCTGGGCAAACCAGGAGGGAAGGCGTGAAGTGGGTGCTGCCACCAGCCAGCAGCGGGGGAGATGCAAACAGGGAGAGGAAGGCCCATCCCACATGCTTTTGGGGGCCTCTCCTGGGAGCTTCACAGCAGTGTGTGGCACGCTGGCTCTGTGCATTCCTGAATATGAGGAAGGCGTGACAGCCACAAAATCCAGAGGAGGAGTCAGTGGGGTCAGGGAATGCAGGTGGGAGAGGGGAGGAGCCTGAAGGTTGGGCAGTGGCTCTCTGAGCTCTGGCCAGTGGGTTCCGGGATATTTGTCATACTGTTTACACTTTCTAAAAAAAAAAGTGAAGAACCACTAGGAAAGGTGGTCACGCCCCCACCCCTCTCCCTGTGCTCACCAGCCCCACTGGCTTGTGATGACAACGACTCCTCACTCTTGGCAGACCGCAGTGTGACCGTGTCAGGACGGCTACCTGCAAGGAGGAGGAGATAGGGGAGTCGTGGGCACAATCTACCGCTTCCTGGGCCCCTCAACTGCCCAGCTTCTGACCTGAAGGCTGCGCTGGGGTGCGAATGCCCCCCAGCCAGGGCAGAGGCTTCTTCCGGGGGATGCTGGGGCCCCGGCCCAGGGCAAAGAAGGTCTTCCAGCTGCTGCCCCCGTGTTTCCGCTGCTTCTCTCCTCTCTCCCCCTTCCTCCTGGGTTGAAAGGGGAGACACAAGTGGTATGAGGAACTGGGGGAGCCTTCAGGACCCCTCCCCTCGCTCTGGCATCCCCTCACCTTTCAGCGGGAGAAGCTGGGGCCTTGGGAACGACGGGTTCTGTGGGTGTCCCCAGCCGGCCCTGGGTGCGTGCCTGGGCTTCCTCCAACGTCAGCAGGCGGGTGGAGGGGCCACTGCCCGCGAGGGACTTGGGCCTGGGGAGGAGGCAGCGGCCTGGAGAGTTGGGAAAGGAGAAACTCATCAGTCCGGGAGGGCCATTCAAGGCCACAGGCAAAGCCAAGCTTGACAGCCCAAGCCCCGGCCCGACAGCGTGCCCACCCGGGCTGGCAAGGCAGGGGGCCAAGGTGGATCAGGCGGGAATGGGTGGGCAGCAGGCAGGCGAGGAAGGAGTGAGGCAGAACGAGCTGATGAGGAGGCAGCTCCCGGCAGCCAGCGAGGGCGGCGGCTCTGGCTTCAGTTACCTCGGGCCTGGGGGCCCTCCGACGAGCTGAATCCTGACTGGGCTGGGGTCCGGGGCGGGGTGGGGAGTCTGGGTGGGGCTGGGGGGGGTCAATCTGGGCACCTCCCACCTCCTCCCAGGTGGGACCACGGCCCCAAGAGCCCCCAGAAGCTACAAGGGGTGAAGGAAGAACGATGTCCGGGCCAAGAAGTGGGGATCCTGAGCGTAGGAGCTGAAATGAGAAGTGGGGGGCAGGGAGAGGCCGGGGCGGGGTCCTCAAGGGGCCAGGAGGGAGGTCCAGCTTCAGTGGGGTAAGGATAGGGCTGAGAGCCCCCCTGCCCTCCCACGGCAACAGGGGCCACTAATTAGGCCATCAGGGCTAGGCCGGGTTCACCTGCAGGGTCCAGGCCAGCAGACGTGAAGGTGTCGCTGAACAGGACGTCCACGTGCGTGAGCAGGAATTCCACCACCACCGATTGCACCCGAACCTCCCGGAAAGCAGCCGCCCCGCCCAGCCCCACCGACTCCAGCTCCATAGACCTGGGGGTGGGGGACAGGTGCTGTGAGCCAAACGGATGCGGGGTTCAGCTAGGCATGGTCAGGGGACAGTGGAAATGACGCCTCATGCAACAGCCCTGACTTATCGAACTGATCACAGCTGGAACTGGGTTGCAGCCTTTCCCGCCAGCTCTCTCTCCTCAAGTCCTCGTTCTTCCTATGGGTCAGGCCAAACACCCGGGACTGCCCTGACCTGAGTATCACCTGGAGGTGACCCCCACCTCCAATCTATCTCCGACCCTCTAGCCCCTGACCCCAAATCATTCCAGAATTGAAATTGTCCCCATGCTGTCTGCATCCTGGTCTCCCTGCTGGGCCCCTCAACCTGCTCCCTACGCTCAGCCAGGGAAGCCTCTGACACTGTGAGGGTTCGCTGGCCCCACTCCATAGTGCTGGTAAAAGTCAGTCTTTGCCATGGCTGCCCACCCCATAGCACACGTCAGGGGGCCCTGCATTACCTCTCTGGCCCTTCACCTTCTCCCCAAACCTTCCCTTCCTCCCTTCCTCCTTCCCTCAGCTCCCTGCCGCTCTTCCACCACCACCAACTGACCCGGCCCCTGGCTCTTTGCATTTGCTGTTTCCTACACTGACTAGCTCCTCCCAGAGAGCCACTTGTCTCTCCTGCCACTTGCAACAGTTTTCTCAAATGCTACCTCCAAAGGAATCTTTCTTAGCTACCTTGTTTAATTATGTGTTTACTTAATTTTCAGGATGCTGGGGGTAAACCCAGGGCTTCACACATGAATAGCAGGTGCTTTCCCCATAGAGCCTCATCCCCGGCTCCCATCAGCGGGGTGAAGAGTTAATGCAGTGGGTAGGCCACTTGCCTTGCATGTGGCTGACCTGGGTTGGGTCCCTAGCACCTCATAGGGTCCCCTGAACCTGCCAGGAGTGATTCCTGAGCACAGGGCCAGGAGTAAGCCCTGAGTGGTGCCAGGTGTGGCCCAAAATAAAAAATAAATCATTTATTTAAAATGCGACAGCGCTGCACACCTCCTTTTCCTGCTTCATGTCTTGCACCCCTCTCCCTCCGACGGCACCCTGTGTATCCCGGTGAGGGCCACTGTCTGATTCCTCCACAGAAATGTGAACCCCAGATCTTGCTCAAGTGGCCCCAGTGCTGAGAAGAGGGCCTGCCCATGGGGAATATGAACAAGGGTGTCCAAGCTGGGTGAGTCCCTGGGAGGGGGATGGCAGGGGACTAGCCCACGGGAGCAGAAGGGGCAGGCTGGTGAGCTGCCAACTTACCGTAGCAGGTTGGGTGCCCAGACAATGGCCAGGTTGCGGGCATGCATGCTGGTGTTGGCGCTGTGTTTCGCCATACGTGCCAAGTGTCTCAGCAGGTACTCCAGGGTCCTGGGGTGGGGGGGAGTCGTGGGGATGCAGAGGGACATCGAACCTCAGCCCCCCTCGGGTCCCTCCGCAGCCCTCCTGTCCTGACTCACCGGTAATGTGGCGGGGGCAGCTGCTGGATAACGTCGTGGACCCGCACGAGGCGTTCCTCCTCCCCAGGCACGGACATGGCTTCCTGAGATTGAGGACGGGCATGCTGGGCACGGGGCCAGGGGCAGCCCAGCACCCGCCAGCCATGCCAGCTCCCTCACTCACACTGAACTTCCCATAAAGCTGGTAGGTGAGCAAGGGGTTGGGCAGCTCCCGGAAGTAGAGTTTGCAGAGTGAGGACACGCTGTGGATGTCCTGCAGGAAGGCGGGGCCCGACAGCTCGGGGATCCTCTCGCTGTCAAACTCATGTCTGTGGCCACCAGGCAAAGAGGAGGGGAGAGTCAGGTCAGAACTGGCCCACTGGGCCGTGACCTCCCCCTGCCCCTCAGGTGTCCACAAAGGGATGTTGCCCTCTTCCTCTAGGGGGCTCTTCGACGGCAGAACCAAAGCAAATCTTGCAGCAACCCCTAGTGCCAAATGAAGGCGCCCCGTTTATGGAGATCACCCCATTTATATAGGTTATGGGGGCCAGGGGGACATGCCCCTGCTTGTAGCCACGCAGAGCTGTCTGACTCCAAAGAGTGTCCCGGTCCTTTTTGGGGGCCCAGTCGTCCTATTTAGAAAGGCGGCTCCCAGGTGTGGGCACTCGGGACCCCACTCCCAGTTCTCAGTGTAGTCTACTGCTCATAGTGGAAGCTCCCCATAGTGACCTCGGCCTGGTTTCTCACTGTCGCCCGGCTCCAGTTCTCACCTCCTGGCTACCCCTCCAACCTGTGCTCTCTCTGCCCACCCTCTTGGTTCTGCCCAGAACCCTCTGGCTTTTCCCCACTGAGTCAACGCCAAAATCCTTGCCCCAGAGACCTTGAAGCCCTGTGCCTCAGGCCTCCTCACGCGACCTGAGGCTCTGCCCTTTGCGCGCCCCAATGGTTCTCCCTATCTCCTCCAGAGCAAGTTCCCCTGTGGGGTACCCCCTCCAAGGTCCCCATTCTGACCACACCAGCCCTTCCTGACTATCACGCACAAGGAAATCCTCTTTCGTCTCCCCTCCAGCATGTGAGCCCCAGTAGGGGGCTTGTCTGCTAGTCATCCTCGTCACTGTGATCCCTGCACCTAGTACTTGGCATGTGACAGGTGCTCAGTAAAAGCTGATCCCTCTGCTCTGAATATGAATTCCTCTCTCCCCCCTCTCAGGCCTCAGGTAGACTGCCATTTCCTCCAGGAAGTCCTCTAGGATGCCCCCTACGAGCCCAGTTCTACTCTGCACCCTCCTAAATCCCAATAACTCTATGTCCCCAGACAGGGCCTGGACTAGAGATGTTACTCGGTGAGTCTGTGGAAGGGAGGGTAGATGGTAGCTCTCACCGCAGCCTCTGGATATTGGACGACACGCCGGAGAGTCGATAGATTCCGTCCACCACCCCGTGGGCCTCAATGAACTCGGAGCAGCAGCGAAGCACCTGGGGCACTGGAGAGAGCAGCGGGTGTGAGGACTGAGTGGTGCAGACTGGGTGGGAGGGCTGGCTGGGTGGGCAGGTGGGCTGGGCGCACCGTCCTGGCCGGAGTTGCTGAGGTGCTCCCCAAGGTCACAGCCGAACACTCGCTGACGCAGAATGCCGCGTTGCCGCAGCCGCTGCCGCGAGGGCCGGGAGCGCATGAAGGTGCGAAGCAGGCCGGCCAGTTTCCCGCGCGGCCGGGGCACAGCTGTGGGGCAGAGGACAATCACAGGCTCAGAGCAGCGGCCAGCGCAGGGGCGGGGGTGGAGGCACACAGGGCAAGGCCCGGCTCCTAGTTCCCATTACCTGAGGTCAGGGAGGACACACCCTGGGCAGCAGGGACACCACTCAGGGGACTGTCAGCGTCTGTGGGAGTGAACCGTGAGGAAGGGCTCAGCGGGTAGCCAAAAAGGCAGGAGGGTCCCCTCCCTGCCTGCGACACTTACCCCCTTTGAGGCCCGGACTTGGCCGTTCAGTAAAGAGCTCCACACACTCACTGGGGAAGAAACCAACCTGTGGGGGGTGCAGGATCAGTGACGAGGCCACCCTAGTTGGCCTGGCGACCCTGGCCCACCTGCCCATCCCCAGCCAGGGTCACCTGGAAGCCTCGCTTGCCCCGCCACCAGCTCCGATCTTCCGTGGGTGGCATGTCAATCACTGAGACAATGTCCCCCACCTGGCCGAAGGCAAGGAAGGAGGGTCAGAAGAAGCCGACACGAGGCGGCCCAGCCGGGTCTGCTCCCCACCAGCCTTACCTCGAAGGACAGCTCATCAGGGGCCTGCGCTGTGTAGCGCTTGACCACGTGGGCCGCGGCCACCGCCGGGACATTGAGGGAGGCCTCCTCACTGAGGAGCAGGCGCCGGCCATGGTTGTCCAGCTGGTATGGACAGCAAGGCAGCGTGCAGGGAGAGGCCAGAAGAAGGCAACAATAAATACCTCAGAGAAGGTTCCTCCATGCCCATGGGGCTGACTGCCTGACCCCCATCTGAGTGACACCCTGAGTGGCTGACCACATACCTCAATTCCTGCCCCTTCGCCCCCCTGCATGCCCCGTAGCTCCGCACCCTCATCCCCTACCGTGGTCTCAGCGCATTCTTTTCCTAAACCTGCTCCCAGCCACTCTTAGCCAGGCATTCAGAGTTCAGCCAAATCCAACTATTTTTAACTAACATACCTTGAAATCCTTATAGGCCCACAGCCCGATGCCTGCTCACACATATGCACACAAAGCTTGCACACAAACAGACATACTAGCACACATGTTCATCCTCTCTCTCTCTCTCTCTCTCTCTCTCTCTCTCTCTCTCTCTCTCTCTCTCTCTCTCACACACACACACACACACACACACACACTCTAATGATTCCCTCCAGTCCCGCAGCCCAATGACTGCTCACACACGTGCACACACACGGTTCCCTCCCTGGCAGGCGCCCACACAGACACTGAAATGCCAGCGCCGCCTCCGTTCCTGTTCATTTCTTTCCTGTGCCCACACACTCCCAGCCTGGCTCTGGCTCCTGCCCTGCCCTTCCCACCCCCCCACCCACCTCCATCCAGGTGAGCACAGGCCCACAGTTGAGGTTACTGTCCACCAGTCCCGACAGCGTCTCCAGGTACTGCAGCAGCAGCGGCACCAGCATCTGGGGGCAGGTTGGGAGGGAGGACTCTTGTGGGGGCCCCCATGGAGAGCACACCGCCCTCTTCTAGTGCCTTAACTCATCTCTGGGTGCTGCAATTCAACCCTGAGTGCCTGGGGGGGGGGCATCCTGGGTTCGGTAATGATGCACTGTCCTATCACTCAGGAAAGAGGTGGCATCTAGCTCTTCTGTGCCCCCACTGGTCTGGCTGTGCTGACCCCCTCAGACAGGATGCCTTGGAGGTCCCCATGGTCCTTAAACTAAAGGCAGCTTCCAGAACTCTGCTGCTGTCCTTGGTCTCTCCACACAGGTTTCTCTAGGGCTGGTAGGAGCCCAGGCACCCCTGTGTTGGAATGTTTACCTATCCCCGACTTGGTGACTTCATACATGGCTGATGCTGGGGTCAGGGGGAAGGCAAAGACTGGGGCAACTTACCTGGGCAGCCCTGGAACCTTCTGGGGGAGGGGGCAGCTCTGGAAGGCAGGAAAACCTCCTGTCAAAAATGCATCGGTGGAGGTGGGCATCCAGGGAACGGAAGTCATCGTAACTGCGGAGAACTGGCCAGGAGCGACCCTGAGTGATTGGGGGATAGAAGGGAGCAGTGTGGTTCTTAAAGTGAGCGGGGGGGACCATGGGTTCCAGCCCACAGGGCAACTCGAGAAGCAAAGGTGCTCTCACCTGACAGGTCACCTGTACCCCGAATACCAGCTCATTCTCTCCAGAGAAGCTGGGGCCTTCACGCTCAGGAGACAGCAGGAGCTGCAGAGGGAAGCAAGGGCCCAGGTGAGGGTTTCCTCCCGGTCAGCCCTGAAACTCCTGTTCCAGATCAGCCCTGCCTAGGAGTGGTCTGTGTCCCCCCTCTGGTGCCTCCCCAGGGCACACCCAACAGTGTTTCTGTTAAGATATAGGGATCTGCACAGAGCATACAACTAAGGAGGAAAAAAACACAGTTGCTGAATGAATAAAGGAACAAATGAATGAACTGCACCCACGATTTCTCCGACGGTCTATGCATACTGCTAGAGCGTCTAGTCCCCGGGGGCAGGTTTCAGTGGGGGGCAGGGGCTGACACTGCTTCACGGTTGCATGGGATTGCACCAACCCATTAGTGTGCTGAGCCCCCATACCTGAATGTGGCCGAAGTCAACGTTCTCGTAGTGGAAATGGGCACAGTCGGCCAGCCGGGGGAAGGGGCCTCGAGGAGCCGAGAGTCTGCAGGACAAGTGACACGTCACGAGCGCTCTTGCGCGTGGCCCCCCACCTAAGCTGAGCCTCGCCCTCCCTCACCTCTCACCTCTTCCCAGGCTTCCCCTTCACACTGGGCCCCCCAGAGGGGGGCAGGGGCTGTACTGAGCCCTCCCCTGGGCCATCCAGGCTGTCAGTGCTGCGAGCCTTTGGAGCAGAAAGAAGAATCAGAGGCCCCCAGAGATGGGAGCAGAGATACAACGGGGGCATTGTTATCTGCCAGGCTGGGCAGAGGCCCGGATCGCGCCACACACTGCCCTCAGCGTGAAGGGTAGGTGGTGTGTGTGTGTGAGAGAGAGAGAGGTGGGGGCCTGCTTCCTCGTGTGTGGTCTATAGGTGGGGGAGAGAGAATGGTGGTGTCATGGTGCCCAGTTTAAAATCCTTAGGGTAGGGTGTGGGAGGGGTAACTTAGGATCGTGAGCCACAATCAACTCATCCAGCTCCGTCTGGAACACCTTCTCCATAGAAGGTCCTGTCAATCCCTTGTGTCCCTGTGTGGACATTCACAGTGTCCCTCTTATCAGTTTGTTTGGGGGCCACACCCAATAATGCTCTGGGTTTACACCTGGCTCTGCACTCAAGGATCACTCCTAGCAAACTCTGGGAACCATATGGGCTACTGGGGGTCAAACCCGGGTCAGCTGAGTAAAAGACAAGAGCCCTCCCCAGTGTTATGGCCCTGTCCCTCCCCTCTTATGTTTTATGGTCCTGAGCTTCCCACTTTTGCCAGGGGCTTCACAGCAAGATTTTCCCAAATCACAACTCTGCCTCATTTGCCACTGATTCAGGGACTTCCTAAAGTGTTCATGGGAAGCTCTTAATTCTCTGGTGTCTGTTTACCTCTTGGTCAGCCCCTTCTCCCCACTGCCTCCACTCAAAGGTCTCAATACTTGAAGATTCCAGGGGTGGAAAGAGTGTAGAGCGGGTAAGGTGCTTGCCTCGCACACAGCCAACCCAGGTTGGATCCCTGGCATCCCATATGGTTCCCCCAGCACCATCAGTAGTAAATCCTGAATGCATGAGCCAGGAGAAACCCTGAGCGTCACTGGGTGTGACTCAAAAACTTAGAGATTCCAACAAAAGCACTATCTCTCATTTCTGTCTCTTTACAAAGGCGGTTCCCTCTGTTGGCACACGCTTCCCTATCCTTCCAACAGGCTCACTTTCCTGTGAGCTGTGTCAGGCCCCTTTTCAGAACTCCTGCAGGATCCTTGACCCCTGGGCTCTGTGAGGCTGACTGAGATGTCACTGATAAGACCCTTCCCCCCACACTGGAGCAGAACCTCCCCTTGGAGCAGGCTCTAGGGCAGAGACCCCCGTTTCCCAGCAAAAAGCTGAGCAGAGAAGTGGTCTTCTCGCATCAATCTTGACCCATCACCGTGGGCCTGGTTTTCTCCCTGCTGAGCTCGGTGGGGTAAAATCTGATGAATACAGGAATGAGCTGCTAGCTAGGGATTCCCCCGCCTGGACTTTTTGTTTCTGTCTCCTGTCCCTGCAACCCTGAGCTCATCTTTGGGTCTCACGCCTCCTTCTGTCTGTCCCCTCCTGCCCTGGCGAGTCGGGCTCTGACTTGCTCCGGTGCCGTCTGCAGGGGTCTGCACAGAGGTCTCAGTGAATGTCTGTGAAGCCAGCCAGGGAGGGAGGGAATGAATGGATGAATGAGCAGGAGGCGCTGGGTGGTGGAGGGAGGTGGTGGGGGAGGGAGGAGGAGGACAAGAAGATGGAGAGGACCCAACCACCAAGTGGAGAGGCACCGGGGCTGGCCTGGAGTTGGGGTGGAGTGAGGAGGGGGGGAGCAGCTGGCCGGCGGGGGGCACGGATTCAGGCTGATGGAGGGGTGGCTGGGATGGGTGGGAATGACTCAAAGAAGAAAAGAGGCTGACGGAGCCCGGTGGGGGTGGGGCTCAAAAATGAGGGGCTGGAGGGGAGGAGGGGGCCAAGCCGGGCCGGGCGAAGGCTGGGAGCGGTCGCTGAGGAGGGCTCTGGGATGGGGCCAGCGAAGGACCCACGGAGCTTCGGGGGGGGGGGGGCCGCCGCGGCGGGGGGCAGAGGGGGGTTGCGGGTCCTTCCCTGGTCCAGCCCCTCCTCCCCAAGCTCAGGGTCTCGGGCCACTGTCACCTCCCGGGAGTGAAAGGGGATGCGCGCTGAGGGGGCGGGGCCGGGGAGAGGGCAGGGGTCCGAGACCCAGCCGGGGGAGGAGGGGACGGGGGGGGGGGGTCCGAGCGACCCCGACGCTGGGTGAGGGGCGGCGCAGGCCGCGGGCTCGGGCGGGGCCGGAGGCGGGGCGCGCGGGGCGGGGCGGCGGGCGGACAGACTGACACGCGGACGGACTGACGGCCGCGTGGGCCCCTCACCACCATGGTCGCGTAGCCTCCTCAGGCGCCGGCCGCGCTCGACCCCTCACTCGTCGTCCTCGCCGTCGCCGCCGCCGCCGCCATGGCGACACAAAGGGGAGGGAGCGAGCCGCGCGCGGGCGGCTGCAGGCTCCGCCCCTAACGGCTTCCCGTTGCCCAGGCGCGCGCTTCTTGGGGGGCGGAGGCGGTGGGGAAGCGGCGCAGCTTCTCATTGGCTTCATCCTGGGGTTAGGGATAAGCCCCGCCCACCTGCTGGCTTTTCATTGGCTTCGGCTTGCCCAGGCTCTGTCTCTCCGGCCCCGCCCCCGAAGTTTGACAGCGCCACGCCCATGGCCGGTACCCATTGGCTGCCATTCACCTCCTCAGGCACACACCCCCGGTCCTTTATGCTTCGCTCCCCTGGCCTTTAAGGCTAAACGATCAGACCCTCTTCAATCCAACCAGAATGCCGCTCCTTAGTTATTCTTAATTGGATTCCCCCAGGGCCTCAGGACTTCTCGCCACCCCCCAAGCAGCTTTTCAAAATCTTAATCCTTTATCTCCACTGTGTCGAACCTAATCCTGACCGCGCCCACAGAACCTCGGGCGGTTTGCCTTGACTTGGATGCCCTATAGGATAGAACTCCGGAACTACGGGCACTCGGGACTTGGCCTCGCCCTAGCCCACTGGGCAGTTTCCTGGCCTCTTTCGCTACTTCTTGTTACAGGCCGACCTCCAGCCTTGACTCCCATTTTCTAGAAATGTGGTAATTCACAAAACAAGATAGTGCCTAGGGCAAAGCCAGTTTCAGTTGTCTGGCTGCTGCAGACAGAGCCAGGGTCAGAAGACACTTTGTAACGACCTCTTTCCTAACGGATTCTCGCCTTTCATTTCATTTCTGCAGTCATTTCCGCAGTCAAGTCCTTGTACATCCGTGATCCGGTCATTCACCGGGGTAACTTCATTTGTTGACATGTCAGTAACCAAAAAAAGGCGAGGGGTTGGAGCAATAGCACAGCGGGTAGGGCGTTTGCCTTGCATGCAGCCAACATGGCGGACACAGGTTCGATTCCCAGCATCCCATATGGTCCCCCGAGCACTGCCAGGAGTGATTCCTGAGTGCATGAGCCAGGGGTAACCCCTGAGCATCGCCAGGTATGACCCAAAAAGCAAAAAAAAAAAAAAAAAAAGGCGAAAGAGTCCCTTTACATAGAGTTCAAAAGCTAGTGAGAGAAGAACATTTTCATACTTAAAAGAAACAAATGCTAAATATTAGGTGGGAAATCGTATGAAAGAAAAGAGGGGAGCTGGAACAATAGCACAGTGGGTAGGGCGTTTGCCTTGCACGTTTGCCTTGCACGCAGCCGACCCCGGTAATGTGCCGGAAAAACCTATACTAACTTCAATAAAACAAGCCTTTTGATTCTGAATTAAAAACAAACAAAAACCCCTGGGGGGTGGAGCAATAGTACAGTCTTGTCTGTCAAACAACCGACCCAGGTTCGATTTCTGTCATTCCATGTGGTCCCCTGAACACCTCTAGGAGTTATACCTGAATCCAGAGCCAGGAGTAAGCCCTAAGCACAGTCGATGTGGCCCCTCAAAACCCAAAACCAAAACCCTCAGCTTCCTGCATGCAAAACATGTCCTCCAGCCTGCTGGACTATCTCCCCAGCTTCCTATACCATTAATATTTTACTTTTGGGGGGAGATGAGGGGAGGGTTGTTTTTTGAGCCACACCAGCTGTACTCAGGGGTCACTCCTGTCTGGCTCAGGGGATCATATGGGGTTTAAACATAGATCAGCTGAGTGCAAGGCAAGCACCTTATCTACTATACTATCTCCCTGGCCCCTATTATTATTTCATTTCATACCTATTATTACTGTGAACTCATTAACCTAATTTTTAATGCATTTCAAGATAGACGTTAGCATTAAATATCTCAGCATACATCTCTTTCAGAGTTTTGCTTCTGATGCAAATTCATGTACAATGTAATTTTAAAATTTCACTGAATTTGGACAAGCTCAGGCATCTGTGTAACCAATCTTGTACTCAGCATGGCAATTGAACATTTTATATGGCAACTCAGAGATTCAAGGCTAGTGCTGGGGGAGAAGAGAAGGAGATGGAAATTGTAGCATCTTTTCTAGTTATTTAATAAATTTAAGCAGGATTGTTTCCTCTGCACTCCGTTGAGGGAGTCACCAAGTTCTTTGTCATTTCAAGAAGTGACGCAGACTATGTTGCATGAGAGCCAAGATGAAACAGGTTTTTCAATTGTCCAGACTGTTGGTAACAGCCTAAACCCCATGATGGCAGGGGCAGGAGGAGAAAGGGTTATATTCTGGATAGATTTATTTTTTACTCTCCTCTTTCCCTCCCCTTCATTGTTTTGATGACTGGGAGTTGGTTGCATGCATGTCTCACTGTAGCACTTTTTAAATTTCCTTTTGCTTGCTGAAGATCTCCAAGTTTTACACTCCTTCAGTTGCAGTGTTGCATACATGCTCGCCTGGACAAGCGTTCTTAGCCAAGGCTCATGGGTGTGGTGCATCGCAGGGGTTGCTGTGGTACTCATTCAGAAATTGTGATCCTCGCCAGAGGTTGCACTTCCAGGCTTTGGTGCTCATGCATTTTAATTTTGTTAGTGCTTGCCAGGGCTCTCACCTGGGCTTACTCCTGGATCTACACTCAGGAATGATTCCTGGTGGTGCTCAGAGGACCATATGGGGTGCCAGGGATCAAACCCAAGTCAGGTGTGTGCAAGGCAAGTGCCCTACCTGCTGTACAGTCTCTCCAGCCCAGGCCTCAGTCCTTTTAGTGGAGATTACATGTATCTCACTGCAGTGTGAACAGAAAGTACTTGCAGTCCCTTGGGTTGATAGACAGTAACCTACCACTAGTAGCTTCAAACAGCAGTTGTCAGTATCATGCTCATCACCTATGGGACATCTGGGATTTAACCTCATGACTATATGCTTGTAAAACAAGAGCTCTGAACCACTGAGCTACTCCTTCAGGCCCACTGGATAGATTTTTTTTTTTTTTATTGCGGGGGACAGGAGGGCGGCAGGGGAAGCTTGGGACCATACCTGACAGTGTTCTGAATCTATTCCTGTCTCTGGGCTCAGGGTCACCACTCCAGAGTGGGTCACTACACAGGGGGCCATGGGCAGTGCAAGAATTAAATCATGATTGCCACACAAGTGTCTTAACCTCTGTACAAATCTCTCCAATTCCCACTGGATAGAGATAGTAGTGACTGCTAATTAACTGATTGTAGATATCAGGGGAAAGAATACAGAGGGATGCCTTTTGGCCAGCAGCTCTGCTGAGGCTGCAAAGAGCACAGGAGGAGGAAATTTAGGGGAAGAATGATTTTGTTCAAGACCTGCAGAGTTCCAGTCTAGGTTCCAGTCTTTAAGATATCTGGATGGAGGTGAGCAGGTAGCTGAATAAACAGGTCTAGGGTTCTTTGAGGCCAGGCACAGGTTGAAGGCAGAGACTAGGAGAAGAGGACTCTCAGAATTAGAGATACGGTTTAGAGCTATGAGCTAAATTAGTAGCACCTGGAAACGAGTGTAGACAGATAAACCAAGGCTTGGGAAAGCAGTTGGGGCAACAAGGGCATAAGCAAAGAGGTGAGCAGAAGGTGGGGTGTTGGCAGCCAGGGCAGAAAATGCTAGGAAGGAATCAGTGCATCAAATGCTGAGTGTGTGGACAGAGGAGCAATCACTGTGTGACACTCTGGTGGCCCCATCAGCTCCACAGTCCCTTTGGTCTCATGAGACAAGAGGATACACACTCCTTAGCTGAGTCAGACAAGGTGAGTCCCAGGCTTGCTGAAGTTTCCTGGAAATCCTTCCCCACAGGGAAATTGGCATGACACTTGCCCTTTCCAGAACATCCCCTTTCTTAGACAGTAACCTGAAATTCCAGTAACCTGTGAAAATATTTTATTGGAAAAAAGTAGAATGTGTAGTTCAGAGTCATCTCCTTGGCGCTAGGCTGGAGCAGATCAACACCCTGGGTCTTCAGCGTTGCTCAGTAGGCGAGACAAATGGGCTTCCACTTGCCTGGGAAAAAATAAAAAGGTTGGAAAGAGTGGAGGCTCAAGTATGTGCTCAGCACGGGGGCTGGGGCTGTGGGCAGTTCCAGGAGAGGGGCTCAGGATGGCCATCCAGAGGCTGCCTCCGAGGATGCTGGGGTGGGGCGTCAGAGATCCTGGTGGTGGTCACCTTTTCTGGCGCCGCAGTTCTGCTCTCTGAATCCTTAGCACTCGCAACACAGGATCGTCCCGGAAGTCACTGCCGTCAGAGTCTGGAGGGAAAAGGGCGAGTTCTAGGGGGCCGACCCGGCTAGGTGCTAAGGAGCCCACGGGAACCCTGTTAAACAGGCTCACCTTCCGCGGCCTCCAGAATCCTGGCCGCTTGGGAGAGGAGGTCCTCCGAGGGGGCGTGGCCAGCAGCGAGCGGGGGCGTGGCCACGGTCTCCAGGGAACCCGCGCGAGCCGGAGCGGGCGGGGCTTGGGGCGGAGTGGGCGGAGCTTTGGAGCGAGTGGGCGGGGTCTTGGCGCGAGCGGACTCCTTCCCAACGGCAGTCGGAGGCATCTGGGCGGGTGGGTCGGAGGCTCCCGCCAAGCGGAGCTTTCCGTCCGACCCCACGTGGAGAGCCGTGGCCCTGGCCTTCCGAACCTTAGATGACCCCTTTGGCGATTCGGAGAGAGAGGGCATCGCCTGGGTAGGGGAGGGAGTGGCAGAGGCTTCGAGAGACTGGGAGGGCGGAGGCAGCGGGGCCTCGGGACGAGGGGGCGTGTCCTCCGGACAGTCGGCGAACAGGCGTGCGGACACTACCTGACCCAGCGCGCCTCGAAGCTGGGGCGCAGGGCCCTCGTCAGCAGCTCTGGCGGACCCAGCTGATTCCCGACGCGGAGCTCTGCCCCTCTGAGGCTTGTGGCCCTCCCCCTGAGCCTGGGGGACGCTGCTTGGAGCAGGGGTCGAGGCTCCGTGGGGGCCGGCAGGAGGCTCCGGAGTGGAGGCCGAGGGAGCAGGGATAGTGGGGGCGGGCACTGGAGGAATAGGAGGAATGGCCCCGAGAGAGACCCAGGGTCCAGACTGGGGGGCCCAGAAAAACCCAGGAGGGCTAGGGCCCCAGAAGAACTGTGGCGAGAATGCTGGGGGAATAGGAGGTCTACCCACATAGAAAGGCTCTGGGGGGCACGGCGGGGGCACGCTGCCCCACAGTGGGACACAGGGAGGCTGGGTTCCTGGGGCAGCAAGGGTCGGCGCAGGTGCAGGCGGAGGCTGTGGGCAGATGGGGACAGAGACCTGAGAGAGAGAGAGAGAGAGAGACAAAGGGCTAGGTCCTCAGTTCCCTGCAGGCTTCTCTAACCTCCAACTTCCAGTAGGCTCCCCCCTCCAGTGCCTACGTCTCCTCTGTCCCCATCTCACTGGAGGGGGGACAGTGGGGGCCTGAGGCCACATGCAGGCTCTGTCTTCCTGGCCTCCAGGAGCCTGTTGAAACTTTGGAGCTGGCTGGAGCTTCTGAGCCTGTTCAAGTTTTCGCCGCTGCCGCCACTGGTACAATATATCATCCTCTGGCCTCAGGGGTGGCTGGGAGGGGACTGGGTCTGGAGCAGGGATGGGGTCCGATGCTGGGGTGGCTGTGGGGTGAGCAGAGAGGAAAAGGGTCAGGCAGGGAAGGGAGATGAATGACCAAGATTATTCGGATGGATTCTGCAGACCCTGCCTGAACTCATGAGAAGTGGGGGTGGGAAAGACACAGAGCCAGAGAAACTCGGGTTCCTCTGCTCTCATTCATCACAACACTGACTCTTTCATGTGCCGGGCAGGGTTGTGGAGGTTGTGGTTGTAGCCGGGAACAGATTCTGCACTTCTCCCACTTCCCTGCTGCCCAGGGTCCCACCCATAGCAGTCTCCTGTTGGTCCTCTGTCTCAGCACCCCAGGTGCTCCCTACCTTCAGCAGAGGGAGAATTAACACACGCATCAGGCCAGGGTGCTCCTCCTGCACTCCCCAGGCTGCATCGGATAAGTGGAAGGCCTCGGCCGGCGAGAGCTCAGGAAGCTGCGTGTACGCCTTACATGCAGACAGCTTTGTTGGCTGGACCCCAGCATCGCGCTGGTGCCCTGAGCATTGCCAGGAATGACTTTTGAGCACTGAGCTGGGAGAAGCCCCCAGTACTGTTTGGAGTGGCTCCAAAGTTAAACAAAATCCAAACAAAAGCTTCTGTATTTGTGTTCCCTCTCCCTAGAATGCACTTCCCTTGCGCCCACAGGGCTCATTCCCTCAAAGTATCAGCTTTTCAGAGTAGACTTCCCTGCTTAGTCCATTCAAAAGTGTGCCACCCCACCCCCCTCCCACCCACCCCCCCACCCGGTCATTCGGTTCTCTGTCCTCTTTCGAGGTTCATTTTATTCCCCTTAGCACTTACAACCATATACACTAAATACTTTGCTCTGTAGTTCATCTCTCCCTAAGACCAGCCTCACAAGGACAGTGATTTGTTTGGATTTGGGGGCCATACCCAGCCGTGCTCAGAGCTTGCTTACTCCTGGCTCGGAACTCAGGTGGGCTGAGCCCATCATCACTCCTGGTGGGCTTGGGGAACCATATGGGGTGTTGAGGATCAAACCCAGTTCAGACATGTGCAAAGCAAATGCCCTATCCGCTGTACACTGCCCTTCTGTCCTGTCAAACGCGTATATATCCTCCAGTGCCAAGAACAGGACTGGGAGTGATCAGTATTGGGGGCATAAGTATGAAATATAATCTTCATTGGACTTCAGCCCTTTGTACCTAGCAATGACCTCGAGCAAGGCCACTGGCTGTCCTCAATCCAGCGGGGCAAAGGGACATCATTCCCCTCCCGCAGAGCACTGTTTCTTCAAACATGATGACTAAGACACTTTTATTCTCTCTAAAAAGCTGGCCCATCTGACCCGGCACAGAGGAGAGGGCATCACCCCAAATTGCTCTATATCCTGTGATGCTGTTTCCAAATCAGGATGCTTCCTTCTGTTCTGCTCCAACCCCCAATGGCAGTGATGGTCAGTGAGTTTGTTAGCGCCCAGGGAGGACCTGGTCCCACACCATTCAGAAATCTTCCAGGCTCTCCAGCACTCATCACAACCAGATGTAATGGACCCTTTCATGCCCACAAGGCCCCTGCTCCTCTGGATCCTGCTATGCCCATCCCACTGTTGACATCATGCTCATCCACCCCAGCTATTATGGACATGCCATAGGGCTCCTGCCCCAGCCACACCACTCAGGAGTCCAAAATGCACCTCACCAGGTCCGCAAAGGGTGGTCCTGGATTCCCAGCCCTGTGCTCCTCTTCAGCCTGGCTCTCATCTCCACTTATATCTCACATCTCCTTGTGGTAAACAGTTAGGGAGCTGTTCTCTGCCCCACACTCTCTGTGCTCTGAGGGTCCGGGAAATGGGATGACATGAGCTCCAGTTCATTGTGGTAGCCCCAATCCTGCTCACAAGTCCTTGTAAATAGTATGAACATGTGATTTAGGGTCAGAGCGACAGTGCAGTGGGTAGGGTGTTTGCCTTACACACAGCCAACCCAGGTTCAATATGCGACATCCCATATGGTCTCCAGAGCACTACTAGGAGTGTAGAGCCAGGATTAACCCCTAGCATCACCTGATGTGACCCCAAAAGAAAAAAAGTGAGGATATAATTAAACCATGAAACTGTTACTATAGCCAGCTTATGGGCTGGCTCTCGGACTTCTCTGAAACTTGAGAAACAGGTAGAAATTTGAGAGTGCAGCACTGAGTGTGGCCCCACTGTAAAATGGGAAAATATAAAATTGTTAATATTTCTTTTCCTTTTTTTTTTTTTTGTCATACCTGGCGATACTCAGAAGTTACTACTGGCTCTGCACTCAGGAAATACTCCTGAGATATTCAGGGGACCATGTGGGATGCTGGGGATTGAACCTGGGTTGGCCACATACAAGGCAAATGCCCTCCCTGCTGTACTATCACTCTGGCCCCAAAACTGTCAATATTAAACCATTTTTAACCACACACAAACATTTCATATGGTTCAATGTTATATAGCCAAAGATATGTATATTCACTATTACATATCTATATTAATTAAAATATGCAATTTATGTTATGCTATGTATATGATAAATATATACACAGTTTATAGCTTATAAATAGTTTCATATTATTATTATTATTATTTTGGTTTTTAGGCCACTCCTGGCTCTGTGCTCAGAGGTCATTCCTGATGGCCCTTGAGGAATCATATGAAGTGCTGGAGATCAAAGCAGGGTTGACTGCCTATAAGGCAAGCACCTTACCACTGTACTATCACTCTGGCCATGAGTTTCATAGCCTTTAAGGTCAGATTTTGTGGGCAAATCAGGTATGGTACAAAAATTGCAAAAAGCCTCCTAATTTTGGAGCTTCATGTTCAGAGAGGGAGCAAAGAATCTGTCATATTGGGGCTGGAGCGATAGTACATAGGGTAGGGCGTTTGCCTTGCATGAGCCGACCCGGATTTGATCTCCAGCATCCCATATGGTCCCCTGAGCACCGCCAGGAGTAATTCCTAAGTGCAGAGCAAGTAGTAACCCCTGTGTATCGCTGGGTATGACACAAAAAGCCAACACACACACACACACACACACACAGACACACATACACACACAAAACACCAAAATCTGTCATATTAATGCTGGGAACAGTGCTGGGCCAGTTTCCCACATACTCCCCAACTCCAGGAATTGTCCCAAGACTGGAGGGTAAGTTTTAGTCCCGTTGTCCAAATTATGGGAACCAGACCAAGAACTGTCAGCGGCAGAGTTGGCATCCACACCCACACTCCTTCAATCCTTGCCTCCTAGACCTACCAGATACCCGGGGGTGGCAGTCCTTGCTGGAGTCAGTGGTGAAGGCCATGGAGAAGGGAGAAAGGCCATCAGAGCTAATGGGCAATGAGGAGACGCTGGCATCACTAGGGCTGAGGGAGGAGGAGGAGACCGAGGCCTTGCTGGAGGGAGAAGGCAGAGTGAGATGGCGGGGTCTCTGTCAGCAGGCTGGCCTCCGGGATGGGTGGTAGGGAGAGGAGAGACTGGCGCCACTGAGCAAGGTACCTGCGTTTGAGCAGCGTGTCAGCTCTGCTTTGCAGGCTCAGTGTCTCCAGGTCCAGCAGGGATGAGTTCCATGTGTTGAGGCTCTATGGGGTGAAAGGGGTCAGATATCAACTGTCATCCCCCAGGCTTGAGGAGAAAGGGGCTCTGGTGTGGCCAGCTGCGAGCTTCTGTGCTCTGGTTCACAATGATTGGCTCCAGGATGAGTGAATGAGAGTAAATCTGGGGGGTTAAATGGGACCACAGAGAGAGCCCTCTCTTCCACTGGTAAAGCTGGAAGTCTAGAATTCATGGGCATCTTAGCTAATTCAGGGCAAAAGCCTGCAGGATTGAGCCTGACAGAGAACATAGCTAAGGAAGAGAGTTGCCAGCACCATATCAACACATGGGTGTATGGGGCTGGAGAGATAGTACAGGGTTGAAAGGCGCTTGCTTTGCATACAAATGACCCCATTTTGATCCCCAGTACTACATATGGTCCCAAAGTACTACCAGCAGAAAATTCTAAGCAGAGCTAAAAGTTGCCCCTGAGCACCACTGAGTATAACACCAAATCAAAATTTTAAAATACTTAAGAAAAAAAAGTGGGGGCAGAGCTATAGTAATAGTACATGGTGTAGGGCGCTTGCCTTGCATGCGGCGAACCCTTCTTCAACCCCTGGCATCCCTTATGGTCTCTGAGCACTGCCAGGAGTAATTCCTGAGTATATAACCAGTAACCCCCAAACATTGCCAGGTGTGAACCCAAAACAAAATACCAAAAAAAAAAAAAAAACCCTAAAAATACCAAAGCACCTGGATGCAGTCATTCTGGAAAGCCAATACTTTTAGATTTCTTGATTAAAAAGAATATCATTGGGTCTGGAGTGATAGCACAGCGGGTAGGGCATTTGCCTTGCATGCAGTCGACAGAGGTTTGATTCCTAGCATCCCATATGGTCCCCTGAGCACCGCCAGGAGTAATTCCTGAGTGCAGAGCCAGGAATAACCCCTGTGCATCGTCGGGTGTGACCCAAAAAGCAAAAAAAAAAGAGAGAATATTATTATTTTAAGTATTAGCTCAAAAAAAAAAACCAAAAACTTGGGGGCTGGAGCAATAGCACAGCGGGTAGGGCGTTTGCTTTGCAAGCGGCCAACCTGGGTTCAATTCCCAGCATCCCATATGGTCCCCTGAGCACCGCCAGGGGTAATTCCTGAGCGCAGAGCCAGGAGTAACCCCTGTGCATTGCCGGGTGTGACCCAAAAAGCAAAAAATAAATAAATAAAAAACTTTTTTCAGTTGCTTGTCTTAGGCAGCATAAGATGAAACACATGTCATTGGAGATGGAATGAACTGACCGCTTCATCCAGCATTGCATTCTTGAATATAAGAGATTAAACCCATGAACTGGAGAGAACTGTTAGGCCCCAATTTTCTTTTTTCTTTCTGATTTTTGGGTCACCCCAAGCTATGCTCAGGGGTTACTCCAGGCTCTGCACTCAGGAATTACTCCTGGTGGTGCTTGGGGGACCATATAGGATGCTGGGGATTGAACTTGAGTCAGCTGCGTGCAAGTCAAACGCCCTCCCCACTGTACTAATGCTCCAGCCCCAAGCCCCAATTTTCTTTTTACAAGCTCTACCTCTTCCTTCAGATGAGAGTAAAGAATCACAGAAACTCTTTTCTTGACCTTTTCTAGAGGTCCCTTGACACTACAGCTTGAAGCAAAACCATATGCTCTGAGAGCAGGTCCTGAATCTTCCTTGACCTGAGGACAGACTTCCATGTCAGGCAGGGCTGGGACTGTCAGTAAGGGAGGAGACTGGGACATTACCTGCTTTATTTCTTGAAGAGGAACCATGGCCTTGGCCTGCGCTGCACTGGCCACCTTGGCAATAGCTGGAGTTGCTGTGTTGGGTCTTCCTTCTGGTTCACTGGTTCCTGCTAAGAAGCCCCAACTTGAGTTAGGGGGACCACGAGGAGTGAGTGTGCGGGCACCAATCAGGGCAGATTTTAGGCGAGAAGTGGTGGGGGAGATGGGACAGAAGCAGCACCTGTTACAGGTTGGCTGCTGGCCTCCAGAGAGTCAGGCTGAAGCCACCAGAAGTCAGCTAGAGTTGGACCTGCAGGCTGGCGCTCCTCTCGGCTTGTTGGTTGAGCCTGGCGGAATCTGTTAATGTATCTGTGAAGGTTGATGGGCAGAAGGGCCAAGTAAGAATCTAATACCAAGCCCAGTCGTGTTCCATTTAACACTGAAAAGAAAATAGAACTTATTTGCTCTTGGTTTTAAAGGAAACTAGTTTTTTTGTTTGTTTTTTGTTTGGGGACCCCCTCTGGTGGTGCTCAGGGCGTACTCCTAGCTCTGCATTTGGGAATCAATCATGGTGGGCTTGGGGAACCATATGATATGGCCATGGTTGGCTGTGTTTAAGGCAAACACCCTGGGTTGGCTGTGTTTAAGGCAAACACCCTGCCTGCTGTATTACTTCAGTCCCTAAATCTAGTCTTTTTGTTGTTGTTGTTGTGAGTTGGAAGGCACACCCAGTGGTGCTTGAGGCTTACTCCTGGCTCTGTGCTCAAGGATCACCCCTGGGGGGCTCGAGGGACCTTATGGGGTACCAGGGATTGAACCCAGGTTAGCAGTGTGCAAGGCAAGTGCCCTACCCAATGTACCTGAGCAAAGATTCAGGACTAAGTCCTGAGCACCACTGGGTTTGGCCCAAAAATCAAACCAACAAACAAAAAATAATAGTAATCACAATAGGTAGTGCTTGTTGAATACTATGGCAGTGTCAGTAGTTGTCTTCCATAGCTACTTTCCTTTAGGATATAGTAAAGCAATGTTTTTTTTTTTTTTTTTGTCACACCCAACAATGTCCAGGACTTACTCCTGGCTCTTCACTCTGGGAATCACTACTGGCGCGGCTCAGGGGACCATTTCGGATGCTGGGGATCAAACCCAAGTCAGCCACGTGCTATCCTCCAACTCCAAGGTAATTTTTAGCTGGGCAAAAACCAATCATTTATCGTTATATTTTCCAGGTATCCTTGTAGCCTTATGGCTAAGTAATCAGGTTCTTGACCAACTGGGTATGAAGAGATGTGATTCTGAAAAGTGGATGTGGTTGGAAGCCATTCTGCTCCAGGAATGTACAGGACAGTGGCCTAGGAATGAGGAGCAACATGACAAGAGGATCCACAGCAAGAAGGGCTGCCATATTGATGCTGGTTACTTCTGCACTTGTTGGGGAAGGGAGAAATCAATGCTATTTTGTTTCAGCCACAATGAGTTTGGGCCTCTTTTTGTTAACCGCAGTAAGTTGTGGCCTACAAATCCAATTTTTCATTATGTGATGGCCACTGATGGCAATGCTTTACAGTAGTAAATCACTGATAGCTTAAAACGAGCCCTAGGGGAGAAGTGCTATCAATCTTCCCAATTTGCAGATAAAGAAACTGAGGCCAAGATTCCACTGAGAGTGACAGAGCTGGGATCTGAACCCAGGCTCATAGTAACACTGCAAAGTACAGATGCTGTAAGAGGAGTCAGAGCGATAGTAGAGCAGCTGGTTGGGCATCTTCCTTGGACGCAGCTGACCAGGGTTTGATCCCTGGCATCTCATCTGGTCCCCTGAGCACTGGCAGGAGTAATTTCTGAGTGCAGAGCCAGGAATCAACCCTAAACATCATGGGTTGTGATCCAAAAAGACAAAAAAAAAAAAAACTATTGATAGAAGGGCAGGGAGAGCGCTCAACTGTCTGACAAGGCATGCATTAGGCCTCAAGTTTGAGCCCTGGAACCACATGTCAAGCTCTCTGCACACTGTCCCCAGCACTTGGTGCCTCCTGGGCACTGCCTGTGTAGACCTGGTGGCCCCCAGAACCCCAGCAGCACAGCATGGTTGGGCCATGTGCCAAACTGTCAGGCCTGCACTGTAAGGCTGAGGTCTACTGGCAGTGGTCCCAAGCACCATGGGGGGAAATATCACCCTCCCCCACAACAGCAACAGTAGTAAATCACTACTGTGTAAAACACTGTGTAAATACCTATATCTATTGATGATATGGGGTGCCTGCCCATCCTCTCAGCCCTTAAGCTTCTCCAGCCCTTTTATCTGATGGTCCTTACTTGGCTACCACAGAGTCGTCTCCACTGTCAGTCAGGATGGGTGGTGGAGAGGTTCCCATCTTTCCTTCCGGGGTGCTGGGTGGGGAAGATGTCCCTGAACTGGACGGCCAGGACTCCTCAGTCTGCTCAGATATCCTGGGACCTGTGTCCGGAGCCTCGGAAGCTTTTGGGAGCCTGGATTTTGAGGATCTGGATGAACTTGGGGGCTACGATAAGGGAGGAGAGAGAAGAAAAAGTTAAGCCTGAGAATCATCCATGAGGGGAACAGAAGCCAAGAAATCTCAGTTCAGAGGAAACACATATGATGGGAACAGTCAAGTGGCAGGGGCTTGATGGACGAGGGCATTCCAGAAGGGGTGGGGGGGCAGTTTTCATTATTCTTCCTTCCGGTTGTTCATGCCTTGCTACTAGGCCAGCCCACAGCATTCTCTGGGGATTTCCTCACCTTGGGGTGTCTGGTCTGGCTTCTGGATGGCCAGCAGTGGCTTCGATGAAGGGAAGTATCCCCAAAGGGGCGGTCTAGGAAGGAGGAAGCTGGAAGGCTGCAAAGGGAGAGAGAATCTGGCAGCAGAGAACCTACCCGCAGCCCTGGGCTGGAGGCAGGGCAGAGATGGGGGCAGAACTGGACTGTGATCATTTCTGTGAACATTTAGAGTGGACAGACTATGTAGCAGAGCTACACAGTTAAAGTGATGATGTTACAGACATGACTCCCACCGGCCCCTGAAGTCTTCTCGGAAGAATCCAGGAATTGCCAGCGGGTGATCTCAACCCAAGAGTCATTTAAAAACATAGATACACGGTCTTCACCCCAGACCCAAATATCAAGCTATTTTTAAGTAGGTCTGGGCAGTAACCTTTTCGCAGTATCCATGTGATTTAGAAACGCCCTCCGATTAAAATGTTTGGCTAGAGGCTGGAGAAATAGGAACCAGGGCCAGCCCACAGCGCCGTACATTTCCCATCGGTCATTGGACACGAGGACTCAAAGAGCAAATGGACTACAAACCCCATCTGTCACTGTTGTCCGCCTAAGCCAGAGTTCAAAAGCAATACCCCAGGAATCTAGGAATATCAAAATTAAGAAATGAATCTCATTGTTGCTAGAGGAAACTTGAGAGAGAGAGAGAGAGAGAGAGAGAGAGAAGAAAAAGAAAAAGTCCCGGGTGAGGGTGACTTAAGAGAGTGAACATGGACACTACGGGACCCTTGGAGAAGGTGAAAGCTGAAGGCTGCGCGGCCGAGGGCCCTAGAGCGTCTTGGGAGTTGTAGTTCAGTGCCGCTGACACCGCGGCAATCCCGACCTAGACTGTCCGTCTCTCACCCTTCGCCTTCCCCAGAGTCCTGTGGCCCCCGGAACGTGGGCCCGGCCTCACCTGCGGTCCATCCCGCAGCGATCTCAGCACATCTGCCGCTCGGTGCGTGCATCTCCGTCGCTTAGCGACGTCCAGTTGGCCCCGCACCTCCGGGCGTGTCCGAGCGGGAAGCGCGCGGCCTCCAAGTTGACCAATGACAGAAGGGAAAAGAAAAGTGATGCAAATGATCAAAGGAAGCTGTCTCACGACTGGCTGTAATGGCGGCCTGCCTGAGAGGGCGTGTTTGATTGGATAGCCATAGTGGGCGGTGATAATTGTCAGGTTTGTGGCCCAATGGAAAGGGCGTAAATTTGGCCTTGCGGTTAGGAGGAAAATGAGACTACGCTTGGCGTCCTACCACGCCCCCTCTTTCAGAAACCGTCTCTGGTCTCCAAGTTTTTTCCCCCGTAGAGAAACAGACTGACAGCCCGTCCCCTCTCTGATCGCTGGCCTTCCCTGCGTGAGACCAGGCGGCCGGTTCCGCCCAATCGTCCAGCCGCTTCCTGGTTGCAGCAGGAGCAGCTGGTTGCAACCGAGTGCCAAGCCTGGGCTCCGGGCCCGGGTGGCGGGATCAAAACGAGCTATTTCAGGAAGTCGGCGCAGGGCCCCCGTGGGGCCAGCCTGCACCCCTGGCTGCTGCTCACCTGGCCGACTCCCCTGTCCTACGCACCCTGGCTGAGTCAGAGGCACAGAATTAGGCCTGGCTTGCATGGGGGCTGGGCGCGGGGCCCGGCTGAGACAGGAGCGGAGTCTGTTCTGTGTCCTGTTGACAGCCTGGCCCCCACGTATTTCCTTTACCCAGGAATCTGCTCTTAAAACGGACATCTGCGTCATGCTCAGGACTGCGTGCGGGGCGGGAGTGGGTTAGAGGGACTGGAAACTCGGGTTAACGGGCCCCCCTCTGGCTAGACGACTCCTCCCCAGCCTTAGCTTCCCGTTCGGGATACTGAGCTCTCAGTGACATCTCTCTAGCATTCAGCAGGAGCTTAGTAAACGGTCAGGTCATTATTGGGCTTTCTAAATAAGGCTCTATGAATGGCCGAATCTGGCCGAGGTCCCGGTGTCCCCGGGCGGCCCGCCGAAGGACGGACACGGGACGTACTATAAAGGGGACGGCAGCGCACACCGGGGCACTTTGAGCCCAGGACAGCGAAGGAGCAGGATGGAGATCCCAGTGCCTGTGCAGCCGTCGTGGCTGCGCCGCCCCTCGGCGCCGATGCCCGGGATGCCCGGTCGCCTCTTCGACCAGCGCTTCGGAGAGGGGCTGCTGGAGGCTGAGCTGGCCACGCTCTGCCCCGCTGCGCTGGCCCCTTACTACCTGCGCGCACCCAGCGTGGCGCTGCCTCCTGCCCAGGTGCCCGCCTGGGGGAGGGGCGGTAACCTGGTTCCCAGAGCGAGGGGGCGGTAACCAGGTTCCCAGAGCCAGGGGTCCGAGTCACCGTCACCATGACGGTGGGGGTGCAGGGGTGTGTGAACGTCGCGGGGAAGAGAGCCCTGTCTCTCAGAGTTTCGGGACCTCCTAGTATAAGGAATCTCAGAAGCCAGGTGCTTGGTGAAGTGGGTGGGAGTCTCTGTGACATATCGAGGAGACTGATGGAGAGGGGCAGTCATTTGGAGTGGTGGCTTGGTGACTCGTAAGTCACCACAAGTCCCTGGATCCCTGGATTGTTGTGGATTTCAAGAGTGCTGGAGGAAGGGCCCCCCCATGACTCCGGAGGGGCAGAAATAGTTACTCTGATTATCTGAGGAGGGACTAGTGACTGCTTCCTGGGGAGGTGGAAGGGAGGAAGGGTCCCACCACTTGAGGAAGGGGGCCCTCAAGAGGAGTGGGGTGGAGTACAGCGGGAACTGCCAAGGACGTAAGTGCTCTCGCGACTGGCATGGGAAAGTAAGAGGACTCTGGAGACAAGGCCTGACTCCTGGAACGTGGGCCTTTACTGATTTGGGGCTTAAGGGATTTGGGGTGGGGGGAGTGGCGACTGGGGAGTCAGAGGCCAAGAGGGAAAGTGACTTATAGTCATCAGTCCTGCCAGAGGGGACGCTTCTGTGAGAGCAGAGGCTTGGGGAAGGGGTCCTCATCCCTACAGCATAGAAGAATCTAATAATTCCAGGGAGAGGGGTGATGGCAGCCATTCTGTGCCAAGAGGTCCTGGGTGGGGGTGTGATGGATACAAGAGGATTCCTTGGTTCTGGAGTCAGCCGCAGAACCTCTGAGGGTGCGTGGGCCTTACTAGGTCCTAGAGGCCTCTCGACACCCCATGACAAGCCATCCTACACAGGTCCCCAGCGAACCTGGCCATTTTTCAGTGCTGCTGGACGTGAAGCATTTCTCTCCTGAGGAAATTGCTGTCAAGGTGGTTGGCGACCATGTGGAGGTGCATGCACGCCACGAGGAGCGCCCGGTGAGCCTGCTGATGGGGACTGACAGGAGTGGGGTGCCTGCGGGGAGCAGGGGGCCTAGACACTCAAGCCTCTCCTCTTCCAGGACGAGCACGGCTTTGTGGCACGCGAGTTCCATCGTCGCTACCGTTTGCCGCCCAGTGTGGATCCTGCGGCCGTGACCTCAGCGCTGTCCCCAGAGGGTGTTCTGTCCATCCAGGCTGCACCTGCGCCAGCTCAGGCCCCCCTGCCAGCACCACCAGCGGCTGCTGCCAAATAGGAGTCTGGGCATGCCTGAACTCCGGGGACCCTCCCAGGCCCCCTCTTTCAAAGCCGACCTGACTCCACCCAGCCAGAAGTCCGGGCGTGCCAAGACCACCCTCCCATCCAACCTGGAAGCCTGCCCTGACCCTTCCAACCTAGACCTTTCCAGGACACGCCCCCTCCAGCTTTCAACATCACAGCCACTCCGCCCCCGCAGCATGGCGCCCAGAGCCTGCAAACACTAGTCTCAGCTTGGGATGTCTCACTGCCGTGGACTCCACTTTCTTGGCATATGACCTCATTCACAATTCCCTCCACTCACTTCTTAATCTTGCGTAAGTTCTCGTCAGAGAGTCTCCACCTCCTCCCTCTGACACACAGTCCCCACCCACTCGGGTCCAACTCTTATGGGCTCCAGACTCTGCGCAGGCCTCCCCTCCCAACCATCCAGGCTGGGTCCTTGAGATCTAGCCCCTCATTCTTACACCCTCCACTACTATCTCACCTGACACCCTGGCCACCCCCCACTCCTTTCTTCTGACCCTTACCCCTCTCTCACCCACACAAGGCCACCCGGCACTCTTAAGCTCACAATGTACAATATCATCCCCGTCTCCCCAGTCCTGCAGCTATCCCAGGCCCCTCACCCCGACTCTAACCAGAAACACCCCAGTCATTCTGTCCCCACCCTTCAGCCCTGGAAATCCATCACCCATACTCTTTCCCTGAGTCTACACGACCCAACCAGCCCCCTCTGATTCCGCACCTTTCTCCTCGAGTCCCCCGCCCTTCCATCCCTGCACCCCTACTTATGCCAACCCCTAATAAATGTCTGAAGCTGTGCCAACTGTTTTATGTCTGGGGGCAAAGGTTGGACTGGAGCAAGCAGAGGCCAGGTGGAGGCAGGGAGGTTTATTGGGGGGTGGGGGACCATCACTGTCGCTCATACATCTCCCGGAGAATCTTCATGCTTTCTGAGTACCGCAGCTGGTTCCGATGAGACGCCTCCTTCCACCTGGGGGATGGGAGGGGAGGGAAAACTTAGCGATCGGGACTGTTTCTGAGGGGAAGTGGGCTGGGGGACCCTCACCTCTGCCGGATGCTCTCTGAGGGGTGGGGGGGCAGGCTGGGGGACCCTCACCTCTGCCGGATGCGCTTCCAACGCTGCATGTTGCGGTAGATGAGTGAGGAGGCTGAGGGCTCGGGCTCTGAGGGCTGTGAGGATACAAAAACCAGGCTGGGTGATAAGGCCTGAGCCCTACCACGTATGCCCACCCCAGAGCCCTGGCCAGCCCGCACACCCACCTCATCTTCGGGGGTGCCCTGGGTCTCTGGCTGCAGCGGGGATGGGATGCGGGATCTGCAGGCTTCTCCAGGGGCTGTGGGCGGAGGTAGCTTGTACACATCCCGATTCTTGCTGGTGGTGACCTCTGAACCCTGCAGACACGAGCACCCGAACCAGGGCCAAGAGAATTAGAGCATAGGTCTGGGGTGTACCTTGGGCCTCACTTGCCTGTTCTAATACAAGAGCTGGGAAGTCTCATGAGAGACTTGTTTTTATTTTGGGGTGACGCCTGGCAGAGCTCAGGGCTTACTCCTACCTCTGTGCTCAGGGATCACTCCTGACGGGGCTCCGGGGACCATATGGGGTGCTGAGGGTAGAACCCGGGCTGGCTGCATGCAAGGCAAGAGCGATGTCTGAAGGGGGCTCTTTAGCCAGCTGGGGGGTCAGTTCTGTCTCGGGACTCCCTGTCCTCTTCTATCTCAAGCCACACATCCCCTTTCCCCCCAGTCTAGCCTGGCACCCCCCATTATTTCTATGCCACCCAGTTCAAAGAATTCCCATGAGTTCCCCCGGGCAAGGGAGCCCCTTGCTACTATGTGTTGTCATGAAGGTCCCTATCCTGCCCCCCAGTTCTTAGAGGTGGTACCTACCACCCCAGGAAACTCTGGCCCCTCTCCCTCATAGACCCGGGAGCCAGCTTTACCCCCTGGCAGGGGGCTGCTGGGGAGTCGCCTCCCATCCCACCTCCTCGTCCTCAGGCAGTGGAGGCAGCGGGGAGCCGGGGGAGCGCTCCTGCTCACGCACGGTGGGGCTATTGCGCATCCAGGCACGACAGATGGGGTACAGGGGGGTGTTCTCGCTGAACTGGGCCAAGTCCACGCTTCGGTCAAACAGCTTGATCACGTATGTGTCTGGGGGAAGAGGGTCAGGGAGAAGGGGTGGAAGTGAACCCCTGCCTGCACGCCTGCGCTCTGTCCCACCCTCTCCTGGCCGCCATCTCCCCCCAACTCACTGGATCGCTGGGGTCCTCCCTCAGCCAGCCCGTCGTCCATCTCCCTCCTCTTCTTCCTCCGCTGGTGGGGGAAGCGAGCTGATGGCCTGTGTGGAAGCAGAAGGTGAGGCCTGGGGGGCCGGGCCCCTTGCGGCTGTTGGCTGGGCCCGCGTTGCCTTACCGTTTGCCGGTGGCTGCAATGGAGCAATCCCTGTGGGGAGAGATGTGGGATTAGCAGATGAGACCTGACATGCCTTCATGGACACCCCCTTGCCCCCCAGGCCCCCAGGGAATGCTGAGGAATCAGGTCAGACACAACTCACAGGGACCCCTGCCACCCCCTCAGATTTCCAGTGGCCCCGGCTCTCTGGACACGGAGCGGAAGAGACACCCTCAGGGACAGAGCTCGCTGCAGAACTCACTTGTTGTGGGGGTCTGTTGGGGTCTTCCCGGCTTCCTCATCCAGACGCTCCCTAGCAGCAAGAGAGAACTGTGGGCTCAGGGTTCCAAAGACTCAGAATGCTGTGCTTCCAAGGGGTCTCCCTCTGGGGCACCTCCCCCGCTAACCCCAGAGAGCATCTGGGGTCTGCTCAGATCCACCAGGACTAGACGGTCCAGGGCGGGGCCAGCTCCCCACCTGTCCATGTGACTCTTCTCCAGCAGACACTGAAGAACCGCATCCAGCTGGTTCCGGGCCTTCGCCATCTCCAACTCTGGCAAAGATGGTACCATGCAAGGGTCAGACCCCGGGGCCCCACAAGTGGGCAGGGAACTAGGTGGGGACACGCATACATGTCCACCTCTGGCCCCCTTGGGTCAGCCCTAAGGAAAACATAAGCCAAAGTGCTGGCTCCCACACATTCAAGCGCTATCGGAGGCTGTCTCCTGTGTACAGAGTCTGTTCCTTTTTCACGAATATGGGTCTCAAAATACTCACCAGCCGGGGTGGTTTGGAAGTTTCAATAAACCTCTGATATATACGAATCTCTCGAAGAGATACAATGACAATAAGTAATATGTACAGAAATTACGAAGTGCTGAGCACTGTTCTGTGAGCATCAGACACACAATTTTGGGTCTCGGGACCATACCAAGTGGCACGCAAGGGACCATGATCAAACCCCGGGTTTGCACGTACAAAGTGTGCACTCCTGTTCTTCGAGTCACCTACCAGGCCACATCACACACAGGAACCCGGGCTACTTGTCCCAAGTCACAGAGTGACTGCCAGACTGCAAATTTGGATGTAAGTTGCTGAATGGGGCTGCGGCTCCAACTGGGTAGAGAACTCATCCCCCAAGGGTGCTCTGTGTGTTGAAGAAGGGATGTGATCTCATATCTGAATTAAATGTGAATGAGCTGACAATACACAGTAACTGGGAGAACTTACTGTCACTGTCCTCCCATTGTTCATCTATTTGCTCGAGCAGGCACCAGTAATGTCTCCATTGTGGACTTGTTGTTACTGTGTTTGGCATATCGAATACGCCATGGGGAGCTTGCCAGGCTCTGCCGAGCGGGCGAGATACTCTCGGTAGCTTGCTGGGCTCTCCGAGAGGGGCGGAGGAATCGAACCTGGGTTGGCAGGTCGGCCACATGCAAGGCAAACGCCCTACCCGCTGTGCTATCGTTCCAACCCCCTCTTACTAAAATAACCATTTTAAAATCTCTCCCCACCCAGACCTCCCAAAATGGGATCTGGGCTTAACATCCCAGCTCATGTCTGCCATCTTCTGTTACAGGGCCGTAGGAGGTGATTTGCCTCTCATCTCTTCCAACTAGTGTAAGTCTGGCCCTGCACAGGAAGATATTCGCCTGGCAGGGTCACTGGGAACATCAGCTTGGTCAACCCTGGGGCATTCTCAGGAAACCCAGACAAACAGATCACGCAGAAGAACTGAGTCGGGAACTGAAAAAGGGACTCGCTGGTTTTTTGTTGTTGTTTTTTGCTTGGGGGTCACATCCGACAGTGCTCAGGGTTACTCCTGGCTCTGCACTCATGAATCACTCAGGTGTGATCCATGTATCCATTGTATTATTGCAGACTGACCCCGGGATGCCCCAGCTTTGAAGATTACAGCAAAGAGCCTTGGGTTGAAGCCCCAGGTCTGAGTTGTGCCCACGTACCTTTTCCTTGTCTCTGCTTCTACCTGGACCTCAGATTCAGGGTCCATGGGTGTCAGGAGACACTTCTCTGGGCTGCCCCTCAAAATCCTTTTACCTACTGACCTTGCACTGGACTCAGTGTCTGATTCTGCCCCTCTGGCGCTCCCCAGGCCTGGCCAGGACACCTCTGGAAGGTGTCACAGCCCTCATGGTGCTCTCTCTTTTCCAGCTAGCACAGAGGTGGCCAAAATTATTTGTTCTACTTTTTTTTTCTTTTTGGGTCACATCCGGCGATGCACAGGGGTTACTCCTGGCTCTTCACTCAGGAATTACTCCTGGCGGTGCTCGGGGGACCATATAGGATGCTGGGAATCGAATCTGGGTTGGCTGCGTGCAAGGCAAATGCCCTACCTGCTGTGCTATCGCTCTGACCCCTTTGTTCTACCTTTTAAGAAAAAAAAAGAATTAGCATAGCCATGGAAATCTATTTTCTCTAGGGTACAAGCAAAAGTACCCCCTAATTTCTTCCAAAGCTACTACTCCCCTGTTTTGTATTCTACCCTCAAGGATGGGGGCTGGTGTCCAGGTGCCATATGGGGCACCCTGAGAAACACTGACAGGTGCTCCTATCCTGCCCCACCGACCCCAAGGTCTGCCCACTTGGAATCTCCCACCCAACCTACCCCTTCCTGCTCTGCCCATCTAGGTCCTTTCCTTCCCCTGCCCCCCGCCCCCCGGCTCCCAGCTTCAATCTCCCATCCTGATTCATCTTCCACAAGGTGATCAGAAAAATCTTATTAAAATCAAACTTAAGGGGCTGAAGAACAGTGGGTAGTGCACTTGCCTTGCTCACGGCCGACTTGGGTTTTATCCCTAACCCCAACATGGTCGCTGGAATCTACTAGGAGTGATTCCTAAGAGCAGAGTAGGGAGTAAGCCAAACACCGCTGGGGGTGCGCAAATGTGCCCCTCACGCCACATCAAATTTGACCCTGATCCTCCCTGTCACTGCTGCACAATGAGCTTCTGGCCTGGTGTTCATTGGCCCTGTCCCTCTGTTCACCTTCTTCGGTTCCCTCCTCTGCTCTGACCCCTTCATTTTCATATGTATAATTTTTGTTTATATTTGGAGAGGCACCCTTATTCATTCATTCCTTCCTTCAGACCCTCCCCTGCCTATTTTCCTTAAAGCAAAAAGCAAAGTCCATGATCATCGCCCTCCCTTCTCTCTCCCCAGCCTGCCGTTCCTTGATTCAGGTTCTCTCACAGACCACTGGCACTGTGTCTCACTCATCTCCTGACTCCGTTTTACTGTATTACCACTTATCCCTTCTAACATGCTCCCATGTGTGTTCACTTGTGTGTGTGTGTGTGTGTGTGTGTGTGTGTGAGGGGAGGAAATGAATTTGATGCCCCTCCCACGCTCCTTACACAGCAGTTGTGGGGTCCCATCAGTCTGCCCCATCCAGGGACCAGAGTGATAGTATGTCAGGTAAGGTATTGACTGGCCTTGCAGGAGGATGACCTTGGGCTGTATCTCTGGCATCCTACACGATTCCCCCCAAGCACTTCGAGGAGTGATCTCCGAGTGCAGAGCCAGGAGTAACCCCTGAGCATCGCCGGATGTGGCCCCAAAACAAAACAAAGAGAACCACCTCCAGTCTGCTCTGTTCAGGTGACCTCTTGAGTTTCAGTTCCTGGTACACTCCAATTTCTACTCCCGAGGGTGGATGAGACAGGCTATGCTGGAGGTGGAGAAACCTAGCATAGCCAAGCCTCCTCACGCACTCGGGATCCCCCCTGCCTTCCCGTATCACACTGCCGACTCACCCCCACTCATCTCACAGCTAGCGTGGGCACACACACATCCGGAAGGTACCCAAGTGGGAGTAGTGGCTCGTGCCCGCCACCGCGATTGTCAGGGGGCTGCAGGGAGAAGGCACCAGTCCGCCCCATTAAAGGCCTGTCACTCTGGGGCTCCCCGAAAGGCCCCCGACCTCGGGGTCCTCACCTGATTTCTCCACTTTCACCTTCACCGGGAACATGTTTTGGGTCTGGGGTCCGGCTCGCCGAATCACAGGCGCGCCAAAGAGCCTAGAGTCACAAGTCAAGGAGAGGTCAAAGGTAAGCTTCGAAACGCGGCTACTTCCCCGCGGAGATCACGAAGGGCCGCCACCAGCACTGCCGCCGCCGCCAGGTCCCCTTCTATGGGCGGGGCCTTTCGGCAAGTCTTTGTTCCCATTAGTCATTGAGCTGTCGATCTCGTGCCCTGCCCAATGGGCTGCAGCTACCGTCTGTAGTCCAGCTTTAAGTCCCACCTCTCTGGGGTTCGACTTCCGAAACAAACCAACGACATCCGGCAGTGACTTCTGGGAGGTGTAGTTCCAGTCGGCTAGAGAAACGGTTGCGCCTGCGTCGCGCGAGGCACGGTGGGAGTCGTAGGAGCTGAACGTCGCTTAGCCTCATGGGATTTGTAGTGTTCGAAGCTTAGACTAGTGACTCCCCCCCCCTTTTCTGCGGACTTAACTGGAGTCCTCTTGCCCCTAAGACGACGACGTAAACTGTAGGTAAGCTGGGTTCTCCCTACTAAACACTCACCAGGTACCAGTTACCTGCCAATTTATTTTCAAAGACGAGCACATATTTTATTAGAGTGCCATTCTACTTATTGAGGATACTCCAGTGAACAAAAGAAAATCCTCGTCCTAATGAAGGTTTTAGTTATCTGTAATTCCTTTTTTTTGCAGTGCCAGGAATTGAGCCTAGAATCTCACACATGAGTTCGATTCCTTCGCCCCTCTTGGAGAGCCCGGCAAGCTACCGAGAGTATCTCGCCTGCATGGCAGAGCCTGGCAAGCTACCCGTGACGTATCTGATATGCCAAACACAGTAACAACAAAAGTCTCCAATGGAGACGTTACTGGGCCCGCTCGAGCAAATCGATGAACAACGGGAGGACAGGGACAGGGACAAACCTGGGTGTGGAGGTTGCAAGGCAAATACCCGACCCACAGGGGTGGTACTACTGCTCCAGCCTGTAAGTTTGTGTTTTAAAGGGCAGGGGAAAGATAAATAAAACTTTCAGAGAAAAATACAGTAACAAGTCAGAGAAGCAGTTAAGGTCTTTGCCTTGCACATGACTCACACGGGTTCAATTCCTGACACCCTATAGGGTCCCTGGTCCTGCTAGGACTGATTCCTGAGCACAAAGCCAGGAGTAAGCACTGAGCACTGCTGGGTGTGGCCCCCAAATCAAAACCAGACAAAAGAATATAATCTAATAAGAGAAAAAACACGGGAATATGGAGCGGCCCAATGTGGGGAATTACAATTTTAAATAGGATGGTGAAGGGAGCCCTTCTCTGCCGAAGCACCCAGGCTTGCCAATTTCCGTTATCAAGTACATTTGTGGTCCAGTGAAATTCTAAGAGGTAGCACTGTGATCCTCATGTCAAATGAAAGGGAAAATATTTCAAAATTCACACATTGCGAGTAACGAGAAAATGGTCACTGGTAATGAAAGTACTATTTCTTTCTTGGGTCCTCACGTAGAAAAAACACTTTTTTTAGCGGTGAAGTTCCTATTTCAGAGGTCTATGAGTTTTCCATGAAAACGTGCATGCCATGTGTTATCTACGCCTAGCACAAAATCAGCATCACGAGATTTTTTTTTTTTTGGGGTCACACCTGACGATGCACAGAGGTAACTCCTGGCTCTGCACTCAAGAATTACTGCTGGCGGTGCTCAGGGGACCATGATGCTGGGAATCGAACCCGGGTTGGCCGCGTGCAAGGCAAACGCCCTACCCGCTGTGCTATTGCTCCAGCCCCATCACGAGATTTTTTAAACATTAATACTCAATGTATGCTTCAACTTCCAAAAGATCCCAGAAAGTCAATGTATGAGAATTAGGGTCCTTTATTGAGGGAGGTCGGCAGAGTACACAGGGGGAGGGGAAAAGTCTTTAAGGGCTGAGACTGGGTTTAGAACATCGGAGCCCATTCTGGAAGAATGAGCAGGTCGCTGGGATTTTACTGAAGCTGTCAAGGGGTGCCCAGGGGTATGGTGAAGGAGAGGTAGTCCCCAAGGGCACCCCAACGGGGCCGGTAGATCTGAAAGATGGTGATCCAGGTAGTAAGTACAATCACCCAGAAGAGGAAACCCACAGCAGAGCGACAAACATCTGGAAAAGAGGACAGGCATGGGGAAGTTGGTCTCAGCCAGCTGGAATCTCCCACCTCTCCACCACTGTGCCCTGGAACCTCCATCACCCCTCCCTCTGAGAGTCTCCCGTTTCTCCCCACACAACCAATGGTTTCCTTTGCTCTGGACTCACAGCCTTTGATTTGGCTCTGTTCAGTGTATGCGGGGACAATGAAGGCCTCTCGAAAGAACCAGAAGATATTTACCAACCAGAGAAAAGGCAGGAAAGCAAAGCCACCTGAAGGCGAAAAAAATAAAAAGGGGGGACATAAGGCACTGAAGAGCTCTCCCACATCCCAACTCCAGCACTCTCGGAGAACCTATCTGGAAGGTCTTTTTCCATACTCACGTTCAAACAGATCTGTCAGGGACCCAGAAATCCAGGACACTCTCTTCTCCCCACTACCCTGGCCTGTTCCCCGCCCCGCCCCAGCCAACTACCCTACACTTTTGGGACTCAGTAGCTGCCTCAACCTGCTCCTTCAGCAGGACCCAGGTCCTTTTCTCAGAAGCCCAGTGCCCAGCCGCTTCTACCGTTAGACCCAAGCCCCCTGGTCCCTGCTCTCTCTACTGTTTTAGTCCAGCAGGGCCCCTATCTTCTGCTGAGACCCTGAGACCGGCCCTTACCCAGATAGTACTTCCGGCACAGATTCAACTTCTCCTCGTTGGATACCCGCTCCAAATTCATCGTTGCGCGGGGCTAGGTGGTCCAAGGGCTTGGCTGGGCAAGACCCAAACCTCGCTCCCAAGTGACAGACGCAAGGCTCGCGAACAACCACGCCCTATTACGACAAAACGGAGCCAGAGGGAAGGATGGGTTGGTTGGAAGCGGAGCCCCCCCGCCCCTCCAGCAACAGGACTGGCCTGAGAAGCTCTGTGCCAGCTGTGGTGCGCTCAGGGACCCCCACACATCTTACCTCCGCAGGCCACTTCCTCTGGCTTGGCTGCCCCGGCCACAGCCAGCTGCAGACGTTTGCGTGAGATGCCGCAAGATGCTCTGGGCTTTGTAGTCTTAGTGGCGCGACGGGGGGTGCGCGCATGCGCCCTCCGACCCAGCGCGGGGCGGACGCGGCCTCTCCGCACGCACGCGCACTGCGGGGTCCGTGCGCGCCCGCGGCCCAGACGCGACGAACTACACTTCCCAGAGTGCTCAGGCCACAGACGTGACGCAAGGCGCAGGCAGTTGGAGGGTTCGGATAAAAATGGCTGAATATTTAGCTTCGATATTCGGGACTGAGAAGGACAAGTGAGAACGGGCGCAGGGAGTGGCCCCCTCGGGGATCCAGGAGCGGGGCATCTGGTGCCCCCGGCGGCCGGGCGGCTCGGGGCGATGTTTCTGGGGTTTCCGGGCCTCCCCAGCTCTCGATTCACCTCTGTCTTTGCACCTCTTCCAGGGTTAACTGCTCTTTTTACTTTAAGATCGGGGCCTGCCGGCACGGGGACCGGTGCTCCCGGCTTCACAACAAACCGACTTTCAGCCAGGTGAGAGCCTGCCCGGAGCCTGGGGGGTTAACGCCTCCCAGCCCTTCCCCTTCTGTTGTCGATCATCATGATGCCCCGCCTTTTCCGGCTGCCTAACGCCCGCCCCAGGCCGCCCCTTTCATCTGGGACCGCCCAGGAGCTTGGCCACGCCCCTGTCCGTCCTGAGCCCCCCTTTCGGGGCTGGTCCTCACGGTTAGGTCCCCCTCCCTTCTGGTTTCCTTAGGCACCAGCGTCGCCGATGCACCCACCACGAGGCTTAGGCTGCTTCGGAGGTGCCGGGTCCCGCCCCCAATCTTCATACCCCGTCCCCTTTGCATGCAGCCCCGCTCTCTGAACTCAGGCCCCGCTCCCTGACCTTCTGTTCAGACCATAGTGCTGCTCAACCTGTACCGGAATCCACAGAACACCGCCCAAACCGCAGACGGATCACATTGTGAGTCGGGGACCGGGTATGTGGGCAGGGTGGACAGCGCCCTGGCGGCCACTCACTGACCCTCCCCCGCCTCATTCCCCTTCCTCCAGGTCACGTGAGCGACGTGGAAGTGCAGGAGCACTATGATAACTTTTTCGAGGTGAGGGTCTGGCCCCGGTGAGTTGCCTTCCCGGTGGGCCCGGAGCTTGGCTGAGTTCCACCTGGTCTTCCACAGGAGGTCTTCACGGAACTGCAGGAGAAGTACGGGGAGATTGAAGAGATGAATGTGTGCGACAACCTGGGGGACCACCTTGTAGGCAATGTCTATGTCAAGGTGCCTGTACTCCCCCGTTAAGAGGCAGAGGCATCACTGAAGCCTCACAGCTTGCCGGCCATCAGTAAAGCCAGCCCAGCTCCCTGCCCTGAGCGACTGACTAGTCCCCTGAAGATCTGAGTTTGGCTGCTGACCCTGCTAACTTTCCCCTAGTTCCGACGTGAGGAGGATGCGGAACGGGCAGTGGCTGAACTCAATAACCGCTGGTTCAATGGGCAGGCTGTGCATGCGGAGCTGTCCCCGGTCACTGATTTCCGGGAGTCATGCTGTCGGCAGTATGAGATGGGGTATGGCTATTGGGGTATGGCCGTGCAGTTGGGGAAACAACAGGGGGTTAGGCTTCTGGAACTGCAGGCCAGAGTGTCTGTTGGGGGATTGTCAGAGACCCTGGCTGCCTCCACCTGTCCATCTTCTGCCCAGGGAATGTACCCGAGGCGGCTTCTGCAACTTCATGCACCTGCGCCCCATCTCCCGGAACCTCCGGCGGCAGCTTTATGGGCGGGGACCCAGGCGTAGGTACGTGAGGGTACCAGCACCTCACCCACCCTGAGCCCTTGTGCTCGGAGATGAACCCGATTCCACATGCCGCTGATCTTGTCTCAGGCCTTTGTGTCTTAAAAGCATCCCTAAGAACCATTTCAACCCCAAAGCTAGCTCAAACCCCAGTCTTTTAATGTTTTTTGGCTTTTGGACCATACCTGGTGGTGCTTGGGGCTTACTCCTGGCTCTGTGCTCAGGGATCATGCTTGCAGGGTTCAGGGGACCCTATGTGGTACAGGAGGTTGCAGCTGTGTCAGCTATGTGCAAGGCAAGGCCTCTGCCTACTGTATTAATGCTCTGGCCCTTAAACCCTGAATTCTTGATCCTAAAGCCAGACTGCCCTTCCATCCAAGATGTCCTGTCCTGCCCCATTCTAGAGTAGCGAGACAAAGCTGAGGGATCTGTACAATCTTCCTCTCTTCGCTTATCTGCAGGTCACCCCCAAGGTCCCACACCAGCCACCGCCCCCGAGAAAGGAACCGGCGGCATTCACCAGACCACCGGCATGGACGCTTTTGAATCCCTCATCCCCTCGCCCTCCAATCGTCAGGCACAGAAGTTCTGGCCAGGACCCTTCCTCCTCTGAGTTGCTATACACACCCCCAGGGCCAGTTTTTCCCCAGGCACTGGGGCTCCATGATGTAACCTGCTAAACACAGGGACTTCTGCCACTCCCCTAATAAAGTTCTGTATTAAGGGTTGTTAGTCTTGCCTAGTTGTGGGCTGGAGTTTCCTTTCAAGACCACATTTCCTGACAAAAGCAGTGCTGGGCTCTCGCTCTGACCACAACATCGGTTGAGGCACTTCAAACAGTAGGTCGGAAAGAAGTGGGTCCAAGAAACTAGAAACTTGTGGAACATTTGGGAGGGCACCATCGTGCTAGAAACATCATCCTTTCCATTGGAGGCTTCTCAAGGGGGAAGCCTGCTTGTGGCAGGTTGGAGGACTCCAGCTCAGAGGAGATTGGGCTTAGGAACAAAGGTAAGATACCTGGGGGCCAAGTGGGCACCCTCAATGGGGGTGGGTCAGGGGCCTCTTGCTGGCAATGCCTAAGACTTGTGAAGCTTACAATAATGACGGTTATTATGCTTTCTAGTAATTTTGTTTGTTTTGGTCACGCCCAGCATTCCTCAGGGCTTACTCCTGGCTTTGTGCTCAGGGAACCACTCCTGGTGGTGCTGCCAGTGGTGCTGGGGCACCGTATGTACCATATGTACCATATGTACCTGGGATGGAACAGTTTTCTTATTCAGCTTTGGGGCCACACCCTGCAGTGCTCAGGGGTTACTTCTGGCTCTGTGATCCGGGATCACTCCTGCGGGTATTGCGAAGGTGGCGGTGGGGAGAGGTAGTAAGGGATGCCTGGGATCGAAACTAGGTGGGCCACATGCAAGGCAAGTGCCCTACCTACTGTACTATCTGGACCCAGATCCAACAGTTTTAATTCTGTACGATAAGGCTCTGAGATAAATGCTATCACCTGTTTTAGCGGTGGGAAAGAAGAGGGCAGGAAGATGGCCGAGGTGGGCCTCTCCGAATAATGAACGGTGTAGGAGCTGAACTGGCTGGGGTCCTATTCACCTCCTCCATACCGACTGCCCTCTCCTCCTGCCCTGTTTCCTCGTGCGTGCATGCGTGTGATAGTGCGACAGAGGTAGGCTGGCTGCAAGTCCGTGCTCACTACCACCCCCACGCAGGCTTTTTCCTATGAGTCCCCGATTCCTCCTGAAGGCCTTGCTGCTCCTGGCCGGGCTGGCGTCGCTGGAGTCCTCCCAGTACTGCGGCCGCCTGGAGTACTGGAACCCGGACAACTTGTGCTGCGGCAGTTGCCTGCAGCGCTTCGGGCCGCCACCCTGCTCGGGTGAGGGGCAGAGCACACAGCCACGCTCAGGCGTTGCTGCGGGGTGCAGAGTACTGGGGAAAGGGCGAGAATGGGGGAGGGTCGGGGCGATGGCACCGTCCTAGCTGTGGGGTGCGGCTTGAGAAGAGGGATCTGCCGGAAGGCGTGGGCGGCCGGTGGTGAAACCAGGCGCGGGCGGGCTGAGAGGCAGCGCGGGAGAGGCGGGGTCTGGTCAGCCAGGCTGGGGACTAGAGACTCGAGGTTGGAGGAAGGGGCGGGGGAGGCGGGCTCCGAGCTGCGTGTGAGCCCACGTCTCCCACCAGGCTACGAGTTCTCGGAGAACTGCGGCCTCAATGACTTGGGCGATCACGTGGCGCATCCCTTCCAAGAGTGCCCTCCTGGGCAGTGCAACCCCCACGGCGCCGAGCTGTGCAGCCCCTGTGGTAGCGGAGCCATGGGCCCCGAGTTCGCCGAGCGTGCGGGGAGAACTGGATCCCCTCGCTGCAGAGAGGTGCAGACTGGGGTTGCGGCAAGGATGCAGCTTGCGGGAGGTGGGCAGTAGGCTGGGGTGCGGGGTCTGGGTGATGGCCAGCTAAGGATGGGGTGGTGCTATAGCAGGGGGTGGGGGGCAGGAAGTGGGCCTTGTTTCAACTTTACAGCACCCTGCCTCCCCCCATTTCCAGAAGCCGGTCCCCTCCAAGGAGCTCTGCCCTCTCTCATCTTCCAGTCTCCCGGGGACAGCTGAGCCCATACCAAGTGTGCCCCTGCCAAGCTTTGTCCTGCCCGTGGTGCTGGTTCTGCTGCCCGCTGGAGTAGTGGGCCTTCTGTTCATCCTGCAAAGACACCACCTTTGCAGAAGGAAAGGCGTTCCCAACCACTCCTGTCCAGGCTTTGCTTGCAAGGACCTCGACAGCCCTGTCACCCAGTACTGGTCCACTCCAGGCTCCCTGGACACATCAGAGGCGGGAGATTCGAGGAAGGAGGTGTCTTCACTTACACAACTGGAAAGAGGTTAGTCTGGTACATGCTAACGGGGGAGGATTCAAGACCCCCTTTCTCCCCTTAAGCCTGCCTTTGTCTCCTAGAGCTACCATGTCTGACCTCAGAGCCCCTGTCTCGGCTTCTGGATGAGTTGGAAGTGCTGGAGGAGCTGATTGTGCTGCTGGACCCAGAGCCGGGGCCTGGTGGGGGGATCGCCCGTGGCACCACTCGACACCTGGCTTCCAGATACGGCCTGTCTGCTGTCTGGTCCAACTATGCCTACTCGCTGCGACCCAGCCGCTCACCTCTCCGTGCCCTGATTGAAGTGGTGGTAGCAAGGGAGCCCTCTGCCTCTCTGGGCCAGTTTAGCACACACCTGGCCCAGCTGGGGCGCACAGATGCACTGCAGGTGCTGTCTCGACTTGGCAGATCTGGGCTTGTCTGGCCTAACACTCAAGTTCCATTGACCTGAGTGCCCACTGACTCTGGGTCTCCTTAAGAGGAGTACCCCACAGACCTCTCATTCTCTTGGCCCCAGGTGCCACAGTGTGACCCCTCTCAGATGCAGCCCTGTTACCCTAGAAACGCTCCCAAGGCCCTAGTTGGATTATGTGGTTGGAAAATGTAGTTCCACATTCAGTTTGAAAAAACAGCCTCTCCCCTGGCTGCCCCCAGCACCGTACAAACAGAACGACCACTTTTCCAAACATTGACAGACTTTATTGTGGGGGGGTTTCCCACCTGGGATCCCACCCTCTTAAATAAAAAAGTGCATAGAAAAGAAGGGATTTAGAAACCTTTGTACAGTATCTACATCTTGGGCCCCCAGAGTAGGTAGAGGGCGATTGCTGGGTGGACTGGAGGGTTGGGAGCAGCGTCAAAGAGAGGCCGCCACCAGTACGCCCACATCCACCCTGGACACGAGTGGGGTGAGATGCTCTGGAAGGAACAAGGGAACCCCTGTGCTAGGGGCAAGATGGCAGCAGGGATTCTGGGGTGTGCCCTGGCGGCAAACCACGGCTTCAGTTCAGGAAGCGACGACAGCGCTTGGCGCCACAGTTGCAGGGCAGCTTGTTGCTGGCATCCTCGATGGGGAACTTGTAGTCATAGGTGAGCTCCTCCCCACGCAGGATGCGACGCAGGGCGAAGATGACAATGTGCTTCTGGCCCTCCACGTGGATGACCCGAGAAAAGCAGTTGGGCTCACACGAGTGGTTGATGAAGCGGGCGGCATTGCCATGCATTGTGGCATCTACCACATCAAAGTCATCCATACGGAACATATAGCACCCAATTCCCTGTGGGGACAGGGCAGGATTAGGCACTGTGCCCCAGGAGGGCCCTGCTTCCACCTCATCCCATGGCACAACATCCTACCTTCCCGTCATAGAACTTCTCCCGTTTGTCAGTCAGCACAGAGCGAATGACAATACCAGAGTATTCAATGACCATCTCGCCCGCGTCGATGTTGCGCTTGCAGAACAGGCCCCGCCCATGGATGGCAGATCTGTAGGGTAGGATGGGCAAAAGGGTGCTCAGGGATAGGGGGACAAAGCCAAAAGAGCTCCCAAATAGGGTAACTATCCCTCCACCTAAGGGGTGTCCTCCCCCACAGGCCCCACTAACCTGTAGACACCAACGGCCTCTTTGGATGTCTTCTTGAGGTGACGAAAGCGCATGGCCATGGGCAGCTCCAGGCTGGTGGCACGTCTGATGGGGGACCGCAGTGTCACAGGCTCAGCAGGAGTGAGCTCCATGCCTAGTCCCACTCTAGGACCCTTCCAGCAGACCAGCCCGGGACCCTGACCAGCTGCCCTTTGTACCTGGTTGACCTGAGCTGCACCTCATCTTCTTCTTCATCACAGGCGGCTCCCTCAGGTAGTACTCGGTGCTGAGAGGCCAGAAAATTGAACATGTCGAATGTGCACTTCCTGCGAGGAAGGAAGGAAATGAAGAGGGTCAGAGCTATATCTGCTGAGATGCTGCTGCCCCGATAAGCTTTAGGGTCTGGGCCAGCAGCCTGCTGTGGGGAAGGAAGAGTCAAGGCACTGCAGTGAATGCGGTGAACGTTCCTCTCATTCAAGACTCAAAGCTGGGGATTTTTCTTTTAGGTGGGGGTTGGGGTGGCACACCCAATAGCGCTCAAGTTAGCACTCAGGGGTCATTCCTGGCAGGCTTGAGGGAACATATGGGGTACAGGAGATTGAACCTGTGTTATCCATAGGCAAGGTAAGCTCCCTACACACTGTTCTATTGCTCTAGCCCAGTCCGGGATTATAGATAATTCAAGTAACTCTTGGGCTAGTGTCTTCTCCTCAGGCTTCAGTTTCCAATCTAATAGCTAACTCTCACCCTTAAAAACTCCCACTGGGCTCCCTAGGCATCACCCCAAAATATCTCACCGGAGATAGACCTCAGCACGGGCTGCCCCATGGGGATTCAGGGGTGGTTCCTCCTGGCCCTCTCCCTGCTGGTGGTAGCGGAACTTATAGTGCTGGCAGCGCTGAGCCCCGGGCAGCTGCTCTGCCAGGAAGATGACAGCATCGTGGTGGATGCCCAGGAGCCTTGCCCCACTCATTCCTGGAGAGAGTGACAGGTTAGGACACACACCAGTCATGCTCAAGTCCCAGCTTGAGCCCCCTGCGGGACACTTACCACTAAAGGAGAGGTGTCTGAGGCGGGCATGCCCTCGAGCCTCCTGCACTTTCTCAATCAGAGTCCTCCACGCCCCTGGGGAGGGTCCGGGAAATCAGACTACTGTTCTCTGGACACCTTCCCACCCATTGGTGTTCTCCACACTCACCCTCCAAGCTCTCCGCCTCCACACTGAATCCATCCTCACTGCTGATCTCGAAACGCAGGTGTGGGCCAGCCCGTTTGGGGGCCTGGTTTTCTTTGTCTTCTGGAGATTGAGGCTCTTCCTCAGAGCTCGAAGCTTCACCTGGTCCCGGAAATCAGGTCAAAGCAGGTGAGGAATGTCCTTTTCTGGCTCAAACGCCCCTTTTGGGGCACATGCACAGGCACTGAGTCTCATGACCTGCTTATTTGCATAAATTCTTCCCCCTACTGCCCACCCCCCCCAAAGGCTTATGGTCCCTTCTCTGCAGAAATGGCTAGGTGAGCAGTTGCATGTCATGTTATGGTTCTGCAGGACACACTGAATTCATTCAAAACCAACTGACCATAAATACCCATCTAGCCCTCATTCTTCTTTTACATAAGATATAAGAAACTGGAGAGCTTTATTTTGCTATTTTGTGTTTTTGTTTTCAGCCATGCTAGGAGGTGCTCAGGGGCTACTCGTAAATCAGTCAGTGCTCCAGGGTCACTCCTGGCTTAGAGACTATGCAGTGCCAGGCACCAAAGCCAAAGTTCCTGCATGCCAAACATGTGCTCCAGTCCACTGAGCCGCCTCCTTGGCCCCACACATGTACTTCTCACAGGCAGCAGTTTCTGTAACATTTCTACACATATAAGCCCAGACTTCCAGAATCAAGTATACAGACACGATAAGATGTTTAATGGATTTCTCAGTATCTAAAGATCTTAAAGAGGGACATGAGAGGAAAAGGGCTTCATGGAGAACTCTGCAGCCGGAACAATCAGAAAGATAATTCTGCCACTACCGACTGGTAAGGGTAAGAGAAGGCAAAGTTTGGTGTGAGTGGCATGACTCTCTAAGGCATATTTGGTTGGTAGAGATGGGGAGAAGGCAGCAGGGCACAGGAACCTGGCCAGCAATTTGAGGGCTATCAGAACAGAAACGGGGTTTAAAGCCTAGAAGCAAGATGAAGCTCTGAGAGTGAGAAGAGAGAAAGACGACGAGGGCAGGGTCCTGAGGTAGGTCAGACTGGACAGGTTGGAACAATGAGAACAACCAGATAAGTGAGAACAGGGCAGGGTTCTGGGACCCAGGGAAGAGGGGTTACGAGGAAGGTGGAAAAGCACATCTAAAGTCGCTGCTGGCACCAAAAGTCTGGCCGCACGCTCGCAGTGCGCTGAGGGAAGTGTCTGAGTGGATCCTCCTTTGGGAGACTGGACGGCCACTCCCCCATGTCGACAAACCCAACTCTTTGTGGGTGACCAGCATCATCTTTAGGCCTCGGTCTCCATCTGGGTCCACCTGACTTCTACTTTTTCTCAGCCTTCTCATCACTCTGGTCTATATCTGTACCTAGCACACTTCTCTCAGTCCTTACTCTAAGTTGCAGTAGTCTCCCTGATCTGTGTGTCTGCTCAGGGCTGTCACACTCGTCTGTCACACTCACTGCCACACTCCTGCCATCTGATCCCCATACCCTTAAGCACTCCTGCTCTACCTCACTCCATTTCCACACTCTGCAGCTGAGCAGTGCCGAAAAATTCAAACATCTGGACAAGAAATTCCTCAAGAGATTGTTTTATTCTTTTCGAGGGGGGGGGTCACACCTGGCGGTGCTCAGGGCTTACTCCTGGCTCTGGGCTCAGGATCACTTTTGGCTGGCTCTGGGGACCATATGGGATGCCGGGGATCAAAGCAGGTCTGCTGCATGTGCGGCAAGTGTCCTACCCGTTGTACTATCACTTGACCCAAATAATCAAGAGATTCTGAGCCTTGAGATGCTTGACTATTGGCTTGTTTAAATGCAACCCACTGCCCTCATGACCAAAGTTTTACTTTCCTTGGGGTGCACACCAAGGGCCCCATCATGTGTACCCATGTCCTGCACTTAAACCTACCCCACCGCCCCGCCTCCTCTCAGATCTCCTATTCACACCCAATGGCCATGCCTCCTCCCACTCTTTTTCCAATCTCTTTGTCCTCATATGTGGCTTTGCTGTCTCAGCCTTCATACAAAACATTTCTAAGCTGCTGCTACATCTCCTCCGCCCAGATGCTTAGCTGAGCTTTTGGCAAGGTGCCTGGGTATTGCAGTTCTGGCCTCTGACACATATTCCCTACCCTGTGCCACCTGCCCATTCTGCACATCAACTCTGGGCCTCCAGAGGCTAGGGGCCACTGCACCTGCTCACTACTCTCTTCCCTAGTCCTCTGGCACCCCACTCTGATCTTCTTACCATGCCCGCCTATTCCTGAGTCCTAGGAGAGTTCCACTGTCTCTGGAGAAGTTCCAGAGCTTCATCTTCAGCTGCTGAGGCACTGAGCCTCTGACCTGGCACATCCCAGGCTGAGGCCTGCCCTGGCCCACTGAACAGACAGACCACTTTCAGAGGCCTTCTTGCATAAGCGCAGATTCTGTCTATGAGTTTTTGCGAGGGATGGAGGGTGCCCAAGGATGTCTCTATGACTTGAGCACTCAACTTCAGGATCGGGGGCCAGGGGTGGCACACGACTCCAACGAACAGTACCCAGAAGGTGTTTTCGAAACGGTCCAATTCTGTCAGGGAGGAAGTGGCTCCTTACCTGAGTAGTGGTGCCACTGGGACTCGAGCAGCAAGTCCGGGAGGCCATCTGAGACAATGGAAGGCCCA